TCTTTCTTTCTTTCTCTCTCTCTCTCTCCCTCTCCCTCTCTCTTTCTTTCCTTTCCTTGGTTCATGGTTCATTTCGTGCTCATACCCAGTATTGACATCTCAGAGAGGCCCCATACAGAAGTAACAGGGAGAGGTCCAGAGCCTCCCTCCCAGAACGTGCAAACATGACTTCCCCCCCCTTAAAACAAAGAAGAAACCACAGCCTCCAGGAAACCCCAGCAAGCCTGGCTACACAAGTTAATATTTCCCAAAGCTTTGTTCTTTCCCCAGCTGTTGAAAGTAAAAAAAAATGAAGTCAAGCAGAAAAGTTACGGCTGTGTACTTTGGTTCAGTTCCCCTTCCAAGACGGGCATGCCCGCTCTGTTCTCTCTAATAACTGCACAGTAATTAGTTTCACAATTTTGCTGCTATACTTTATAATAGTCTCCATTAAAGTTATGGGTTTTTTAGGCAGTAATGGCTTACAGAGTAATTAATGGGCAGGAGGCTTTATTGCTACCTTTGGTTTTTTGGCAGTTTCCCCATGTCTGTCTTCTCCATCAGTATCTGCTTTTGCAAAGTGTGAACTCAAACGCAACCCTGCCTTGTCTTGGGCAAAGTTCTAGGGTTCCTTACCCCCATTTCAAACAAATCATTATTTTTTTTCCCTGTCAGCTGTCTTTACTGTCCAGCCATCACACCCATACATGGAGATCAGAAATACAAAAGCGTGGACGATCTTTGTCTTGGTCTCCATTGACACCTCCTGAACTTGATCTTTTCTAACTCCTTGTGGTCCTTCTGAGTCTCAGTCTTCTGATTTCTTGGCTGCGGTCTCCTTTGGGCTGATGACTGAACCGAGGTAGACCCAACCTTTCTCATGTTTGCCAACATCAAGTTCTGCTGTAGTCACGATTTTTGCCCTCTTCGTTTTCAACTGCAGTCCTGCTTCGGCAGTCTCTTCTTTCACTTTCCACTACAAGTCATGTCAAGTCCTTGCCGCTTTCTGCCAGTCAGAGGGAGTCATCTGCATATCTTAAATGACCAATGCTTCTTCCACCCACTTTCACTCCTTCTCTATCTGAATCTGGTTTGATGAAAAGCCTATTAGTGTTGACCTAAGTCGGCTCTGATTTGATGGCATATAACAACAATGGCAACACATGGGTGCGCACACCGGAGTCACAGAATCAAGCGACAATTCTCAGCTCTGGAGCCTTGTTGAGGGAGCTATTGTCCGACCACCTTTTGCCTCCTCCAGGGCAGAAGGGCTGGAGAACAACAATTATGTGTTGCCAACTTGTTTCTGACTTACACAGCTCCAGGGCAGAAGGGCTGGAGAACAACAACAATTATATGTTGCCAACTTGTTTCTGACTTACACAATCCTTCCCAGGATTTCCTATATATGAAGGACTCAGAATTGGTTTACCATTCTAGTGTTGCTCTGGGAACATGCTGCTTGCCCAAGGCCTTACATGGGGCAAGGTATATAACCGACTTATGCGCCAGGTGATCTTGACTGCTCTCTGGAAACACAATGGGGATTCGAGTTCCTGACTCCTGGCTCCACCATCAGGTGTTCCAACCCACCGAGCAGCACCAAGCTCTCAACTGCAAACTAGATGGGGAGGCTCAGATTTGAAAAGATCTTTTTGAGCTACTGGTCAGGCTGACCGCAGTATTCTGGGAGGTTTTGTCCCGCAAAAAAAGTCCTTCTACATCCCATTTCCTTTTTAGGGATGTGACAAATACGCGCTAAGTGCCTCCGTTTAGGTTGTCTCCTCCCGAGTAACATTGATGTGGAATTTTTAGGCCTCGTGTGATTCCTCATCTCCAGTGCTAAAGCAAGACAAATGAGCATTTTAATTTTCGTCAAGGTTTCTGACCTTGGCTCACACAACACCTTTGCCTAAAAGGAGTGTCTCCTCCCTTTGTGAAGCTTTGTGAAGCTAGGTGTGCATAGCAAGTGCAGACGGACAGACTGATTGAGAAAAAAGTTGCAAGCAACCCATGCTATGCTTCTAATTTTTAAGGGCCGGCGCAACAAGGCAGCAGCTGTTGTGGAACTGCTCCATTTTCCTTATTTGTGTACAGTCCATCGACTGTGACAGGAAATATCTTGTCATCTGATACATGAAAAGAGAATTCCCATGGGGTTTTCCCTGACTTCAAGCACAAGAGGTTTTATATCCCTTCTCTTTCCCAGTAATACTTTCACGCCGTCTGCAAATCCTGTTTATATCTGTGCTTTCGCGCCGATTGTTTATCTCCTGGCTTCCACTGCCCTTCCTTACAGGGTGCTCACACGTAAGCCACTACCAGTCTATTGTCAATGTAAGATAAACCCTTCCTTGCTCTTGCATGGTGGCTTTGCATTAATTCAAACCATCACCACCCTTTCCTGCCAAAATGTTTCCCAGCGCAGGGGCAGAGGTGACCCCTGTCTGCCCTTCTCCTGTTCTCCCTGATCTGGATCTCTACGGTGGTGGTGCTGGAGCTTCTATGGGGAATAACACAGGCAAGCATCCCGCTGGCCTGCCTGTGGACTTCCCCTTTCTGGAAAGTCGACATCAAACCATTGACCAGGAAACAGTTAAGCTTTCTGGGCCCAATTACAAGGAGGAATGGATAACCAAGTGAGGATGGGCAGAAGAAGCAACCTCTCTCTCTTCCTCCTTTTAAGCCTTTCCTGCAAGATGCTGTAGAGGAGGATGGGCAAAATATAGTCTTCTTAATGTTGTCGGACTCCAACTCCCTTTAGCTCTAGCCGGCAAAGCCAATGGTGAAAGGATGCTGGTGAAGAATCTCTAACAACATCGAGAGGGTGTTGCATTCGGCCACTCCTATCGTAAACATTTTATTAACTTACTTCTTTATTTAAAATATTTGGATCCCGCTTTTCTCCTTCAAAAGGAGCCAAGGTCATCAAAAGACCATATCTAAAAGCTAAAAACAGTAAGTATACAAAAGTTCGACTAGAGTTCGCAGACGCTGGATCTGACTAAGTTGGTGCTCCCCTTTCCTACGGGGAGGCAGCTATAAATGTGCCTGTTTCCTACCAACAACCGCCGTACCTCTATGCAAGAAAGCCAGCTGTAGGGGCTTCTGTAACCAAGTTTAGGATTGTTGCTTTTTCCTCTTGCATGATCACTGAATGGATTTCCTGGTGCAATAAACCCAGGGGAGGTTAATGGCTCCACTCTCAGTGGGGATGGTGAATCAATGCCAGGTTTTAGTCCAAACTTTAAAGATCGTGCCATCACAATTGTAGGGTATTTTTGATCAGCTGGCGAGCCAGCAAGCGCATCATTCCTGCCTCCCTTATCCCAGAGTGACTGAATTTAACTGCTTTCCCATCTTCACAAACTGTCAACCCCCTGTGTCACCATCTAAATGCTGCGCGCTGCCTGCCAAGATAACCCCAGGATAAAATACAGCCCTGCTTAAATCTTACGTGTGTCCCTGTTAGAGCATCAGAGCTAAGCTTCAGCGGCAGCAGCTTAATAATATCCTCCGGCCGTGAGCATTTTGGGGAGAAGGAACAGAAGAAGGCAGGGGCAGATCACTTCAAAAGAAGCGACAGGAACCATCCGGGAGCCCTCCGGGGGTGGTGGATGACACTCCCCATCATCCCCCAGCAGCCACAGGTGTCGTGGCTCACATCAGGGCTGCATCAGCTTTCTAAAGGCAGATCCACACTTTCTTGCATTTCCACCCCCCCAGTGCAAAAATGAAAAATGTTTCTTTTTAACAAGGAAGGAAGGAAGGAAGGAAGGAAGGAAGGAAGGAAGGAAGGAAGGAAGGAAGGAAGGAAGGAAGGAAGGAAGGAAGGAAGGGTCAAATATTTATAAAAACTTGATGCATTACGCTAAGGTAGCCAGGTGTCTTCTTTGGTCAAAGGCAGTCTTTTATCTAAAAGGTCATCCCATGGAAGTCTGGTTTATAGGTAAGGTGCTAGGGGTCTCATCCGTATTTGGTACCTGGCTGGCAGATGGAGCTGAAGCAAATTTCCCCCTGGTTCCCATCATTTGGGAGAGGCAATTACAGATGTTCTGTTAGAAGGATGCTCATTGTTTCTAAATTTGCATCTAAAAGCATTTGTGCACACCTGGGGCAAACAGGTGTCCTCTTTCTTTGCCGTGTTGGTTGCTATGTTAGTACTGCACGTTTGCCAGGCCTGCTGATTGGGATGGCTTTAAAAGATTATTAGAAGCCAAGGAACATGATCGGTGAATGCTAGGAGTATAGATCGTCTATGGGAGGCTTCCCTGAGTCTCACTTTCTGTGGGGAACATGCGTGGGAGAGTGCTGCTGCACCCATGTGCCACCTGCTGATTCCCTGCAGGCATCCGTTCGGTTGGGGACAGAATGCTGGACTGTGGTGGCCTTTGGCCACCATCCCACGCAGCCCTCCTTGTGTTTTTAACACCAGGGAGTTATAAAAGACTGTGTGGGTCCAACCTGCCATTGTGATTCAAGGAGACCCGGCCCGTTGTCCTACAGTGTCAAAAGCCAGCCCCCCCGTGCATGTTCAGAGTTCTTCCCTTGTATCTCAGCTAGAGCTGGGGATTCGATCGATCTCCGGTCACTGTTTCAAACGGGGGAGCCAATGATTACTGAGCCAAACCCTGGACCCACCTCGCCCTTTGGGTCCGAGCCCCATGTCTGAGCCCCTATTAAAAGCAAGCTTCCCCCCTCCCGAAAAAAGGGAAGGGTGGGTGGGTTTCGAATTAGGAGTCTGATCTGAGTCATTGGGGGGGGGAGTCTGAGTCAAGTCCGGGTCGAGAGGCCAGTGGGACTTAAGCTGACCGCAAGCCCCACAACTTGATTCCCCACCCCTGGTTCTTTCTGCTGCCCCATCTCTCTCTCTCTCTCTCTTTCTCACTCTCTGCCTTTTGCTTGCAGGTGTCTTTATGAAAGGGACCCAGAAAACCTCACCCCCCAGCAGCTCCTCGCCGTCCCTCCGGAGACGCCGCCTTCGCTCCTCACCGGCAGCTGCCTCTGCAAACCTGCTTGTGCAATGGGTGGGTTGTGAGGGCCGGTAAGACCGACGAGCCGCCTGGCCTTGGCCACTGTCTTCTCTCTCTCTCTCTTTCTCCTTTCCGGCCCATTTCTTCCTCTCCTCCATGTGCTCTGCTGTTCTGTCTCTGGGGTTTTCGCTGTCAGGTAATGAGGAACCCTGGGTCCCGTCAGCCTTGGAGATGCCGAAGCGACGCGACATCCTGGCTATCGTGCTGATAGTGCTGCCCTGGACGCTGCTAATCACCGTCTGGCACCAGAGCACCATTGCGCCGCTGCTTGCAGTGCACAAGGGTGAGGAGACCGCCACCGGCCCGTGTCCCCCCCTCACGCCCACCTCTTTGCACTCACCGCCATGGCTCATCCTCATCTCCTCCCCCCCCAGCCATCTTGCTCATTCCACCAACTGGTAGGCCCACCATCACACCATGATGACCTCCATGGTTCTGTAGCAAACAAGGAGCTGAGTTTGACTGTGTTTTTCTTTTATTTGGACCTAAACTAGATTGTCTAGTGAGCACATCATTAGAAGCAGAGTTTGCTGAAGCAGCAAAAGGCTGTCTGATTGTCCTCTCATGAATTGGCCACGTTTGCTTTTGTTTCATGGTTGGTTCTTAGCAGGTAAACACAGGCTTCATTTGCTACTCTGATGCTTTGTATGAATTGCCTGCCTGGAGGAAAAACAGGAAAGCAGGTTAGATGTCTTTCTTTTAGTGCCGAATTTCACTCTTAAGAGGCATTCAGATGAGTGTTTGTTCATCTCGTAACTGCTCCGCTTCAAACAGGATTTTGATAGAGGATCCAGAGAATGACATCTCTGTCTACCTTTTATGTTTCCTGCTCTCTTCTTTCCATTTTTCTTCTTACCACGCATACACAACTACGATATGTCAACGAGGGAAAGATGGAATAGCTACACAATTTGTTTCATGCTAAGAGCCAGCTTCCGGAAAACATCCAGCCAAGCATTTTAACAGAAAACCATCAGATATGAAAGCCTATTTTTGAATCCCAAATGCAGAAAGGAAGCAAAATATAAAATCCTGTCTATTTCAAAGGGGAATTCATGTTGAAAATATAATACATCAGCACTTCAATTGCACACAATAATAATACACCGAGCTAAAATTCAGCGCTGGATGAGACAATAATGCTTGGAAAGGTAGAAGGCAGCAGGAAAAGAGGAAGACCAAATATGAGATGGGCTGACTGCCTAAAGGAAACCACAGGCTCCTGTTTACAAGACCCGTGCAGGGCAGTTGAAGACAAGACTTTTTAGAGATCATTCATTGCCATGAGTCTGAGGTGAGTTGACGGAACTCAACAGCAGCAAAAATACAAAATACAACTTGGTGCAAAGGAGAATCCTCATTCATGTGCGAGAAAAATCGATACATAAAATTCAAATACGTTACAACACTTTTCCAATACCAGTGCAATAAATAAACGGAGCAAGGCAGAGCAAGGTATCTGGGCCTCCAGATACTCTAGCAGCCATCTTCCCCGGCTTGATCAACGGTGAGTTGTAACTCAGAGATCACAGCTCAAACTGGTAAAAGTAAGTTGTCCAAGCGTTGGTCTCTATGCTGTTTCTAGAAGGGAGCCAGAGGCTAACCAAGCCCTATTGTGTCTGTGGATTCGCTGGGAGTTGGCTTGGGAGCGCCAACAGATGTAGGCATCAAACCATGAAGGTTTGGGAGGTTCTGGGAGGCCAGAATGAGCCCAAGTAGGAACAAATCAGCTGAGCTCTCTCTCCAGACATCCTGGCCTGTCCTTCTGGCTCTGCTTGGCAACTGGTTTTCCTGCCAGCCAGCTTCTGAAGGAGGTTGGCAGGCAAACTGTTTAACCAAGTGTTTCAATTTTTGTACTTTTTGTCCTTTTCGTTAGGGATGAAAAATGCTTGCTACGTTCCCTCATTTCATTTAGGCTGTATGGACATGAGAAGAAGCCTCAGCAGGAAATGATCCAGTCCCCAAATATTCCTCACCCACATTCAAGAGCGAGACATTTGAGTTGTCTGGCCCCCACCCACCTTCTGAAGGCCTCTTTAATTTAGATAAAATGGCTCTGGCTTCCTTTCCCTTCAGGGAACAAAGCACACAGGGATACAGCAGGTACAGAAAGACTGGCTGAGGGTTAAGAAGGATACAAACAACCCATCTAGGGCTTCAAGCTCTTAAACAATATAATAGCCTTCCCAGTTTTGAGCAATAGGCATAGTTGAATTGTGCTGTTTCATACCAAAATGGGCAGCAAAGGTTTTTTTTTTGGAGGATGGCACAATGGATGATTGTGCACAACCGTGGGCATTTTGATACGAAACATCGTGCCAGCATGAGTGTGCTGTTGAACGCACCAAGAAATCCCTTGTATTTTCACCAGGGGGAATTTAACTCTTGCTGTTGTTTGCAAAGGAGGAGAGAAGCAAGAATTTACATTGCTTCTCATCCGAAGCATCTTTCTTTCAGTTCTGGCCATTCCTCTGGGCAACTGCTTCTTTTTCTGGCACTTCCCTGCTGAGGGAAATGGAGACCATCGCTTTCCCTCCCCCACCTCCCTCCCCCCCACCCCAGTTCTCCACCTTTGCGCTCTCTCATCCCTCTAAGTCAGTGAATGCCTTCAAAAAATGAGTTAGAGCAGAAGACCGCTTCAGGAGTCTGTCTGATTCCTCTGAGCAGTTTCTAGAAGACCCGTGGGAGGGAAGAGAGGGTAATGCCACTGTTTCTAGGCTGTGGAGAGCCAAGTATTTTGTACTTATGGGAAATGCAGTTTTTTCTCAAGAGAAGGCACTTCATTACAATACTGGTTTGAACTGTGGTGGCTTGAGGGGTGGCCGAATGGCACGGCACAACCACAGGATCAAATTCAGAGGTGGGAAGTAGCATGTTATATGTACCATAATTACCTGCATCTAGTTAATTCTGGATTATCATAGAATAGTGAAGTTGGAAGGGGCCTATAAGGCCATCGGGTCCAACCCCTTGCTCCATGCATATAAGGCCATCGGATCCAACCCCCTGCTCCATGCTGGAACCAAAATCAAAGGATATCTGCCAGGGTGGTTGTCTAAGTTTCTCTTGAATGTATTCTCGAAGGCTTTCATGGCCGGGATCTGATGGTTGTTGTGGGTTACTTGGGCTCTTGGGCTGTGTTCCAAAGAGCCAAAAAAACCCACAACAACCTTCTCTTGAATGCCCCCAGTGTTGAAGCACTCGCCAACTCCTGAGGTCGAGTGTTGAAGCACTCACCAACTCCTGAGGTGGTGGGTTCCATCGTTGTACTGCTCTAACAGTTAGAAAGTTTTTCCTGAGATTCCACCAAAATCTTGCTTCCAGCAACTTGAACCCATGGCTGCGTGTCCTGCACTCAGGAATGTCTGAGAACAGATCCTGCCCCTTCTCTGTATGACTACCTTTCAAGTATTGAAAAAGTGGATCTGGACGTTGAGTCACAGCAACTGGATTTCTTTCCTATTTCCTTCTTTCAGTCTAAAAAAGCTGCTCGGATGAGTAGCGAAACCTTTCAACCAAAAAGGAAAGAAGTCCTGTTGCCAAGACGCAGCTTCCAGATAACCTCACCTGGATGACTGAGGATCTCCACAGATATATTTGAAAGGACTCTCATTTCTCTTTTCAATCTTCTTTTCTCAAAGTTAAAAACATGCCCAGTTCCTTCAGCCTTTCCAGCGACCTAATCATCCTTGTTGCCCTCTTCTGAACTTGTTCCAATTTGTCAGCATCCTTCTTAAAGTGTGGTGTCCAGAACTGAACCCAGGTCTCAAGATGAGGCCTAACCAGTGCCAAATAGAGGGGAACTAGTACCTATATTAACTACATTACATTAAAAAAGAACAGTAATGAGTAGTTCCAAAGTTATTTTGAGGGTACGCTAAATAATGCCTTCCAGTGTTCTAATTTAAATACAGTGGTGCCCCGCATAGCGAGGTTAATCCATTCCAGATTAACCCTCGCTATGAGGAAACATCGCTAAACGGGACGCAAAATGCCATTGGAACACATTAAATTTAGTTTAATGCGTTCAAATGGCTTCTATACTCGCCGTTAAGCGAAGTTTCCTCATAGCGCCGCCATTTTCGTGCCCTCAGTAAGCGAGGGCAGAGTGCAAAAATGGTTGCGGTGGCCATTTTGGTTTGCCCGGCAGCCATTTTGGAGCCGCTGAACAGCTGATTTCCCGGCGTCGCAATGCGAAGATCGGTAAGCGAAACACTTACCGATCTTCGCAACGGGAGTTTTGGCCATAGAGGCCATCGGTAAGCGATCGCATTAGCGATCTCAAAAAAGAGATCGCTATGCGATTTCGTCGTTATATGGTGCGCTCGTTAAGCGAGGGACCACTGTATTCCAAAGCTACATTTAGAGACTTCTCTTAAGGGGTTTTCAGCTTTATGCTATGCTCTCATAGTAAGTATCATCCTGTTTTGCATTTCCATCGTTTCAAAGTGTAACAACATAATTGGCCAGCAATTAAGAAAACTGTGGATTCTACACTGGTGGTGGCAACGCAACACATCAAGAAAGGTCAAGATAGTAAAAAAAAACGTTTGTAGGTAACACAACGGTGAGCTTGGCAACTGCCAAATACTTAGCAACAGAACAAGCTTTTTTCTTAAACAAATTAATCCAAGCTCTGTTCACACTAGACATTCCTGAGAGCATCTAATTTTCACAAGCAAAGCTTTTTGTGTCACCTGTAGTCTGCAAATAGATTCACTTCATTTTGTATTTAGCCTTAGAACACAAGCAGACACTTCATTTGCAAGTCTGATTTCTCAGACCTGAAAGTCTTCTGGAATCATGTCTCTAGAACACTGACATTTTAACTGCTAAAGACCCGCCATTCGTAATTCTTGCTTGGCACCTAACATGGTGTTAATTCATACCTACTCTGGATCTCTAGCTGTTGCTTTCACTGCCTTCCGCTTCTCCTTTTGTTAAGCCTGAAGGACATGATGGGAGAGCTTGAGTCTTCAAAATGATATCCAGCGTCGGTGGGGACACATATTGGGGAAAAGTGAAGGCAACGAAAAGTGAAGGCTATTGGAAAAGAAGAAGTGGTCTTATTTGGAATCAAAGTTAAGGTTTTAATCTAGCAACTGAAGCTGAAGACTGAGGAGAGTGTTTTCTAGGCAAGCTACTACCACCAAATGTTATTATTTGTCATCAAGTCACTTCCAATGTATGACAATCCCAATAAGGTCTGCAAAGTATGGGAGATATTCAACAGTGGTTTACCACAGTCACTGCTGACCCCGTGTATCCATTACACCACACCGGATCTCACCATTACACCGGATCTCATGTACATATGTGATGGGAGATATTCAACAGTGGTTTACCACAATCACTGCCGACCCCGTGTATTTTCATGACCAAGCAAAGATTTGAACCTGAATCTCCTGAGCCCTAACCCAACACGCTATCCATTACACCACACCAGATCTCACCATGACACCAGATCTCATGTACAAATGTACCAATTCAGGAGGGAGTGGTGAAGGGCTTTTGTTCCAGATCGTGGAGAATGGGCAAGTTCACAGGACACCTACGTAGGGCCCCAGGACACACAAAACTCAAGGTATGATCCACGGCTGAAGGGTCAAACCGTTCACTTAGAACCTTGAGAGGGAATGTTTTTGCTCAAAGAAAAGGAACAGTGAGGAAAAGACTTTAACATTTGTTCAGGCTACACTGAGAGCGAGATCAGAACAGAAAGAATAAGCACTGGAAAGAGCTAGAAAAAAAGATGGTGCAAGGGGAGGGGGGGAAATCTGACTTTTTCCAAATGAATAGGTGTATACGCTGATTTTCCATTAGTCTTTTGGGAATAATTCTTTCAAATGGAGGCATGACCATGTCAACTGGTGTTTTGCAACCCCAGAAAAGACACGGCTTTGTAATTCTTTTAGCTATCTCTTTGGTAATTGGAGGTGTCATCACCATCACCATCATCATCCTAATTATCACTATGATTATGTCTTCTAAGACAAATATTTCTCTGTTTTTCAATTACAAAATTATTATTAAGAGTTCCAAAAGTGTATTGTTGTTGTTGTTGTTGTTGTTGTTGTTGTTGTTGTTGTTGTTAGTAGTAGTAGTAGTAGTAGTAGTAGTAGTAGTAGTAGTAGTAGTAGACGACAATGTTTACTTCCTAGATCTATCTTGCCTGCAAAATATGAAGGGAAACAATAATACTGGCTTTTTATTCGGACGTTCAACCAAAAAAAGCTCTCCAGATGCCCTGTAAAAGAGGGAATAAGATGGTCCCTGATAAGAATTTAAAATGTAAGGCATGGCATGAAAGGAATAATGGATGTGGTGAGAGAAGGAATAAAATAAGCTCAGTCCATATTTGCTGGAAGGGGGTACATGATTTAGGTGTACCGGCCTGCTCATCTTCCTCTTTTGTAACACCGCCCCATGTTTCTGAGCTCTGCTTTGCCAAATAATCTTCATCCCGTGGATTACGAATGATGCTGATGGTGAAGATTGCTGCCAAAATCTATATACCATGATCAATGTACCGGCCATTTTCCAGAGTACAAGAGGGCAAGTTTCTTCCTGAAATATTTGGAATTTAAAAACTGGCCTAGGGGAAACAATAGATGAAAACGAGGGAGGTGTAAGAAGGGTAAACAGCAAGAAAGACTCCATGATAGATGAACACATTGCTTCAGATTGCAGAATTAAGATTGCGGAATTCAGGTTGCAGAATTCAAAAATGTGATGGCATAGAGCTGTCCAGACAGTCAGGTTAAACTTCGCAACTTGTTCTGTCCCCTTTTGGCACCATTTCCTGCTCATGGCTTCAGCTTCCCCGGCTTGCTTTCCTGTGCCCCCTTTTCTTCCTTCCCCAAACCAAGAGAGGGTTACTCTCTGTGAACGACCTCACCAAGATGACCTTCTCTTTCCTTTTCTCTCCGATGCGATGCCACAGACGATGGTGGGGACGCCCGTCGCGACTTCTCCCAGGGCTCCGACTCCAAGGAGTATTGCCTCTCAGACCGGGATATTGTGGAGGTGGTTAGGACAGAATACGTCTACACCCGCCCGCCTCCTTGGTCGGACGCTTTGCCCACCATCCACGTCATCACACCCACCTACAGCCGACCGGTCCAAAAGGCAGAGCTGACTCGGCTGGCCAACACTTTTTTGCACGTCCCAAACTTGCACTGGATCCTGGTGGAGGATTCCCAGCGACGGACTCCTCTCGTCACGCGGCTCTTGAGGGACACGGGGCTGAACTACACCCACCTCAACGTGGAGACCCCACGCAACTACAAGCTAAGGGGGGACATGAGAGACCCAAGGATTCCCCGGGGGACCATGCAAAGGAATCTGGCTTTAAGGTGGCTGCGGGAGACGTTTAACAAGAACAACAGCCAACCGGGAGTGGTTTACTTTGCCGACGATGACAACACCTACAGCCTGGAGCTGTTTGAGGAGGTAAGAGTCTGAGCTGGTGGCCCAGCTGGACAGGTTAGGTTCTTGCTCTTGATCCTCAATGGTGCAGACCCTCCTGATGTAAAACCTCAGTGGCTCTCTCCAGCGACATGACTGGCATCTGTCAAATGTATGAGACAGAATAGAGGAAAAGTGGGTGAGACGCTCAGTGCAAACGGTCGCTGCATCGGCCGCTTCCCATCCCCTCCGATTTCAGAGCTCTACCGGAAGATCTTGGGTGAGGTCACACTGAGTGACGCCTGGTGATGTCACAGAGGTTGGGTTTTGGTGATGCAACAGATGGGAGACTTTTGTGATGTCACCCTGAGGTCCCTTGTTATTGCAAAAGAAGACCTGTGCTTTGTGCAGGGGGAAGAAAAGCTCAGGAGTCCATATAAAAATGCTGTAACATCTGCTTTGTTGGCACCAACAGCAGTATATCTGAAATGTTTTGATTAGAGATGGGCCCGAACTGGAAAAATGACAAATCCAGGCGGTTCATGGTTTGTGGCTGCTCACAAACCATCCACAAATCCTGGGAAAATGAACTAGTTCGTGGTTCGCTTTTTTTGTTGTTGTTATTTGTGGTTCGGGGAGGGGAACTTAAGACCTCTATCCCCTCTGCTACCCATCTACTCCCTTCCCTCTTTGTGCTACGCTGCTGCCATCTTTAGAGACAGTGGCTTGACTTCCCTTCCAGGAATCGACCCGGCTGTCTCCGTGCAGGAGCAGGCCTATGAGCGGGGGAAAAAGGTTCAGCATTTCGTTTTGGCCAAACGGGATCCCCAAACTGAACTACGAATCTAACCCATTTGTTTTCCAGTTGTTCATTGGGCTCAGGCCCCTCTTGAGTTTTGATCTAACATTTCAACTTTTGTGCATCACTCTGCAAAGGAAATATTTTTTGAGTGCCTAACCTTAGCCTTCTGTAATCCAGAACAGCCTTGTTTGAAGGACTGTTTGATGCTTGACAAAAATCATCTATACCCAACAATGACCCTGTACAATGAAACTAAATCATGCCATGTTAGTGCTGGGTTAATGTTTGGTCCCTTGGTGTTTTTATTGCCCTGTATGATAATGGGGCCACTGTTTCAGCTTCCTCCAGAATTTCCTAGGCAGCATCCCCCCAAAAAAGGTAATGTCTCCCAATATTTCAATAGAGTACTTTCTATCCTGGAAAAGATAGGCAGAGCCCTCGGGATGGTCTAGCTGGCAAAGGAGGCAGAAGAAGAGAAACGAGTTCCTGTCTATGGCCATCGTAAAAAGTAATAAGAATAACCAACATGAAATTGCCCCGAGGGACAGTTTCAGTTCATTGGCAGCCCCAAGGACAAAGATCATAAAAGGAATGTAGGTATTGAACTTGTTGGGTGAAAGCAGAGCATCATTGGGCTGCTGTTTATTTCCAAAGGATGAATCAACATGAGTCCATTTCAGCAGGATTCCGACAAAAGGAAGCTGAGGTTTATTGTGCAAATCGAATGAACAAGAAAACAAAACTGGTTATTTCTGTAGGACAGTGGGTAACGTCATGAGTTGTTGGTTTTCTCCTTTTTCTTTTTCCAAATACTACCCAGCATTCTGTATCCCTGGCCTCTCGGCGCCCTCTGAGCTAAGCTTCATTAGCTGGAAGAGGATGTGATTTCTCCGCAATCATAAGTTGTTCTGAGCTTTCCCTGCTGTGATGTAAAGTATTTTGGAAAGGTTTGGTCTGGAATGGGTCCTTAAGATCCATTAGATTTACATAAGACTTGCTCCTGCTAGGAGTGCAAAGGGGGTGTTGATGTGGATAAATACAGCTGCTTCCACTCTTCTTTGGGAAGGTCCAGAGCTTAAATGCTCGCTGGTAACTGGCTGGATAGCTCGGTGAGTTAAGCATCTGGCTGCAGAGTCAAAGGTTGGGGGGTTCAGTTCCTCCACTGTGCCTCCTGGGGAAAGAACTAGTTCATGTAGCCTTGGGCAAGCAGCACAGTCTCGAGGCACTCCTAGAAGCAGCGATTGGGAAACCAGGTCTGAGTACTCTCTACCTAGAAAACGTAGGAAGTCTTGATGGCTCATAATTTATTTTGTTATTTATTTATTTTTTGGACTTATATACCGCCCCATAGCGCTACAAACACTCTCCGGGCGGTTTACAATTTTAATTATACAGGCTACACATTGCCCCCCCCCCAGCAAGCTGGGTACTCATTTTACCGACCTCGGAAGGATGGAAGGCTGAGTTAACCTTGAGCCGGCTACCTGGGATTTGAACCCCAGGTCGTGAGCACAGTTTTTTTAGCTGCAGTACAGCGTTTTAACCACTGCGCCACGAGGCTCTTCTTGCAATATGTGCGGGTAGATTTTCCAAACTGTAGCCCAGAAAATTTCCCAAGTTCTGGGGTCATGATAAACAAGTCAGAATCTATCTTTGCACCCCTGGAATGCACATCGAAGGTGACAGTGATTTTCTTTTGGGGGAGAGAAAAAAAGTAGTTTCTGGAGGCAAACACAGCAGGATTCCCACCCACTTCTGTGCCTCAAATCATCCTTCCTCTGCATACTACTGCAGTTAAAGGATATTAACTCTGATTCATTACCAGCTGTAAGTGGAGGCCTTTTTTTTAAGAGCACAGAAATGACACACTCCCTTCCCAGAGGATTTACAAATGAAACCGTTTGCCACGAAACGTGATGCTAATTAATTTAAATGCAAGCACATAAAAAATTGCCCCTTGCCCGAGCCTGAGCTACATAAAATTGGGGGAAAAAAACCAGCCGACAAAGGAGGGGGCAAGAGAGGAAAGTGATGGAAGAAGAAAGTGACAGATAGGTTTGTAACGGGCCACGATCCAACTCTGGGCGAAGCGACAAGAACCAGGACAGAGGCTTTCATTCACAGGACGGGGAAAGGAGCACCCGCTCTTTCAGATGAGTCCAGATCTTGAGCTTTTCTCGTGCCATCAGAGAAACAGAGCTTCTGTACATGCGCGCTGAGCAGGCTCTCTGGGATGGGGTGGACATTGCTCTGCGCAAGTGACATGCTCCATGTAAGGTCATGTGGCTGCTTTAATTCTAAGGGAGCACAGAAGACTCAAGGAAGGCAGCGTGGACTGCAGATTGTAGTCTCTTGCTGAGATTGCCAGCTTTAATTGACCTGAAAAAGCAAACAGAGGAGCTGACCCACTTATTTCGTGCTCCAGGGCAGTCGTTCCCAACCGTGGGTAAGCCAAGTGTTTTTTTGGACTGCAACTCCCAGAGTTCTTCACCACTATCTGTGTTGGCTGGGGTTTCTGGGAACTGCAGTCCAGGAATACCTGGGTTACCCAAGGTTGGGACCCATCGCACTAGTATCATTCATTTAACTTAGAATTATACGTATTTAACTTGTGGAACTCTCCACCACAAGATGTAGTGATTGCTTCCAACTTGGGCATCTTAAAAATGCAAATGCAGTGAATTCATGGAGGAGAGAGCTATTGGTGACAATTAGTAATGATGGCTATGTATTTCCTTTGGATATTATTTGCTGAGGTAAGCCAAAAGTGAGAGTGCAATTGCACCCTTCTCTTGCTAGTGATGTTTCTGTGGGCATCTGGTTGACCACTGTGGAAACAGTGAACCCACTGAACCAGATGTGCCTTCAGTCTGATCCAGAAGGGCTCTACTTATTTTTGTCATTGGTCTCCTGCGAATGTCCCATTACTTTTTGTTTTAAAGGTCCACCCCTTAAAATATACCAGAGGGAGTTGCCTCCTGGGGAATGTCTGCAACGAAGAATCAAGCGCAGTGACAGGGTTGGAAGAGTCAAGGCCTGGCTCAAGTTCCCATAGCTTTCAGGGTCGTAGTGAAGCCCATATGGGGTAAATGCCCTTAGACTGCATCCCTATAGGTGTCTACTCAGAAGTAAGACTCGCTTTCAGGGGAGCTTACTCCCAAATAAGTGGGTTTAGGAGAGCTTTCCCCTCAGGTGTGCGTGGTATAAAAATCAAAGCACTAAAAGGTTTCATTTGTTTGTATGTGTGCTGTATTATATCTCAGTACAGCTTAGTGAAAATGTATTGTGTGTCATTCACAATATTTATCAAATGCTATTGTGCTCAAGACCTTCCAGACGGAGCAACCCTCTGTCCCTCATTCCTTCTCTCCCATCCCATCGGCAGTTGAGGTCAGTTGGCCTTACATACTTCTCTCTCTCTCTCTCTCTCTCTCTCTCTCTCTCTCTCTGTGTGTAGTTGTGTGTGTCACAGAGGTTCCTCTGGGTCACTATGTGCATATGAACCTGTCCACAGATATAGGGAAATATGTATCTCAGAATAATGAGGGAGATCAAGTTGACATATTTGTTTGGCTGGTAGAGGTAATAGGAAAAAAAATCTAACTGAATATGTTGTGTACAGAAAATCAAGAGCCATCATTAAAATAACCAAATGCATACACAATTAAAGCTCTCCCCCTCCCCCCACATGCAGGGTTCAATGCAGAGGCAGAAAAGAAAGCTCTTTCGTTTTGGAACCTAGGGAAGTAATACACTCAATCTGACAGTTGATTAATACCGCCCCGTCGCCTGTACTGCTTACCAGTGGCTTTATTCAAAACTAAGTGCAAACATAACATAGATAGTTGCCTTATACCGAGTCAGTCTCTTGGTCCTTCTGATCAGGTATTGACAACTCCGATTGGCCTGGAGCTTGCCAAATTGTCCTAGCCCTGCCTGAAGATACTGGTATGAACTGGCGGCCTCCCATTTCATGGCAGGTGTGGGCAGTTGGGAAATGTTCTCCAGTCCCCAGTTGATGCGGTATATGCATCGGACGTGGAAGCTCAAATCACACCCCACCCTCAATCCCAGGGGGGATTTTCTTTAGCTATGCTTTGCTCCCGCTTCTGCTTGCACAAGCAGTTGCACAAATAGTTGCACAAGGACAGCATGATTAAAGACCCTTTGCAAAGGGATCCGGCTGCGGTGTTTTCTGGGGCCTCTCCTCTGCCTGTAGGCTTCCTCCAGGAGGACTGGATGCCAGCAGGGTCTCTCTCGGCAGTAGCGAAAGTGCAAGGTCGCCATTTCGCTCCTTTCCCCCCTCACTGCCTCCCTCTGGGCAGCTCTTAGCGAGCGCGTATAATGCAGGAGGGCAACCGCTTTGGACCCCTCCAGGGTGTCTTGCTGTAATTAGCAGAGACGAAGGGAAAGACAAGCCGGGAGAGTTCAGGTCTGAGAGGCTAGCTGAGCAGCAAAGGTGGAGAGAGAGCTCCTGCTGGTGGCCTTCTCATGTGCCCTGAAGATCAGAGAGGTGTTCTGCGAACCCGCATTGAGTTTCACAGAGCTGCCTGTGGTGCATCTGAAATGTTACACCTTAAATGCAGGTGCCCTCCCCTCTCTTTTTAAAATCTGCAGTCTTCTAAGTTTTTCTTCTAAGTGGCTAGTCCACCTGGAGGAGTGTTGATGAAAAGAATCTGAGCTGATTTCACACCTCGTGGCTGGTCCTGGGGTTTTGGCCTGCTGGAGTGCCGTACAGCAGTGATCCCCAACCTTGGGCCTCCAGATGTTCTTGGACGACAACTCCCAGAAGCCTTCACCACCACCTCTGCTGGCCAGGATTTCTGGGAGTTGAAGTCCAAGAACATCTGGAGGCCCAAGGTTGGGGACCACTGCCGTACAGCGTCGTGCAGTGGATAGGGGTCAGGAGATCCCAACTAGAGCAAATCAACTGGATTTACCTATGTGTTGACCTGTCAATCAGTAACCGGTTAAATTGATCTGGTGAGGGTGAGTAATTAGATTTAGGCCGCTGGTGGCCGCTACCAAGGCGCATATTTCAAGAGTGCTTCGGGGAAGGACTGGGGAGCCCTGTTATCTGAGTTTGCTGTTGGAGGAACAAGTTGACTTGAGATGATAGATCAGTGGTTCTTAACCTTTGTTACTCGGATGTTTTTGAACTGCAACTCCCAGAAACCCCAGCCAGCACAGTTGGTGGTGAAAGCTTCTGGGAGTTGCAGTCCAAAACTCCTGAGTAACCCAAGGTTAAGAACCAGTGTGATAGATGATGTTGCATTTCATTCAAACCCAATCTGCATTTGGAAGGAGGTGCTTACCAATGAAACTCTGTTGTTCCTGCTTCCCTAAGGTAGAAGTGGAGAGCCTTGTGCCCTGTCCAACTATGGACCAGCTGCTGGATGCTCCTACTTCTGCTGTAAAGATGCCCTTTGACTGTGCTGTTGCTCTCTCTCTCTCTCTCTGTCTGCAGATGCGGACCACCAGGAAAGTGTCCGTGTGGCCGGTGGCCTTTGTGGGAGGTTTGCGCTACGAATCGCCCAAAGTAAACGCGGCTGGGAAGGTGTACGGCTGGAAGACCGTCTTCGATCCTCACCGCCCTTTCGCCATCGACATGGCAGGCTTCGCAGTAAACCTCAGGCTCATCCTCCAGCGACCTCAGGCGTACTTCAAATTACGAGGGGTAAAGGGCGGCTACCAGGAGAGCAGCTTGCTCCGGGAGCTGGTGACGCTGAATGACCTTGAGCCCAAAGCTGCCAATTGCACTAAGGTACGGTTTTCGTGGGATGGGCAAGAAGAACTGTTGCGTTCCTTGTACAAAACGACTTGTAGCCTTTTAGGAATCAGGTGCGTCAGGTAAACGGATTGTATCCTTTTGAAGAGGCAGACAGAGGTTTGCATCTGTATGTATCTGTGCTTTGCTTCTGAAAAGGAAAGGATATACCTTTTTGTGCAGTGGCAGTTTGCACAAATTTCAGAAGCCTTAATGAGAAAAAAAGGGGGGTTCCTTGCCTCACTCTTTCCATGGGCAACCCAGGCCAATGCCTAATACTGACGAAGAATCCCAAAACATCACCATTCCTCAGAAGGATGTTACCCCCCAGCTCTCTGTTCTTGGAAACTGAGCAAAAGGCTAATCCTATTAACGCCAATATTCTTCAACTAAAAGACAGTTTGTTTGCCCAGCCTTCTGGAGGCAGCCAAAGAGATAATCTTGCACAGTGCATCATGTCTTCATTTTGGACCCTGTGAGACGAGAGGATCCCTCCTCCAGCCAAAGAGATAATCTTGCACAGTGCATCATGTTTTCAATTTGGACCCGGTGAGATGAGAGGAACCCTCCTCCACACGCACACACACACACACACACCCAGTATCAGAAGGCTGGCAAACTATAAATTCTGCCCCACATGGGCTAACAAAGAGGACCACTACCTGGCTTTCACAAGCAAAATCTGCTGTTTGTAGCTAGCCGGGCTTCTGTTCAGGAAGGCATGAAATGGGATCGATTAAACATGCAGTTCATTGTCATAGCAACCAGGCGAGAGGCCTGTCAAGGTGAGGGGAATCAAGAGGAAGGGTTGATGGGGAGCAGCCGAGAGTCGCTCCCAAAGGGCTGATGTGTGTCCACAGCAGACATGAAGATCTGGATAAGGAGAAACCTTTAGCCCCTGTGCATATACCTTAGCGTAGACCTTGTGGACTTTAGCCAAGGAGGCCATGCACCTGCTTGGTAAGGAACAAAATTTGCTGATCTGTTATCTAATATATTCTTTCTCCCTCTCTCTCCTGCACACATACATGCATGCGCGGAGCAAGCACAGAGTTTTTTTTTAAACTGTCTAAAACATAATCCATATCGCTCCCTGTTATGTATGTCCTGCACACCTTCAACTCCTTTTCTCCATCTTTTCTCCAGATTCTCGTCTGGCACACAAGGACGGAGAAGCCAGTCCTGGTGAACGAGGGGAAGAAAGGTTTCACAGATCCCAATGTGGAAATCTGACATCACACTACAAAAAAACCCCAGAGCAAGTATTAACAGGTATGATTGTATAGCAAAAATGTCATGGGTCTAGTTGCCCTGGTAGCTTTAAAGGAAACCTAACCCAAATCCATGTCATATCTCTCACAGAGCCATGGATCTTAAGGACCTTGTGTGCTTGACACGAATAACAAACACACTCGTCTTCAGACTTCACACTTAATTACAGTTTAATGACACACACAGAGGAACCTACATTTTCCCTAAGTGTGCACCACAGACTCTCCCTATCCCTTCCTCCTGCCACAAAGCTAAGGAGGGTTGCTAAGTTTTTGCTTCTCTTATTAGATTAACCAGATCTTGTACCGTTGCCTGTACTGAGAACTGTGGGTTATCTCAAACACAGTTAAACAAGCCAACTTCGTAACTGGTTTTTGAAGTGGGCTTGTTTGAAGATAACCATAGCTAAAATCACATAATTCCACCAAAGGGCTTTTGGCCAACGGGATCAATTTTTACAATTGGCATTTGGAGAAAACTGGATCGGCTTTTGAAACAATGTTTTCGATTGGTTTTCAAAATAATTGTAATCTATTGTAAGAGCCCTGCTAAGCAGAGAAGCAGTAACAAACAAATGCTGTTTTGCTTGTCATGTGGTGCCAAGTTGCCTGAGATGTATGGCAACCCTATGAATAAGTGATTTCCAAACCGTCCTATCGTTAGCAGCCCAGCTCACCCCTTGCAAACTCAAGTCATGGCTTCCTTTATTGAATCAATCAATCTTCTATTTGATCTCCCTCTTCTCCTACTGCCAACTTTTCAACAAATGCTGTACATACATACATACATACATAATACATAATATACATACATACATACATAATACATACATACATACAGACAGACAGATAGACAAGACGAGACAGATGGACAGACATAGTGTGCTATTAAGGCAATTCTGTATGCCTTACGGCAACCCCTTTTAGGGTTTTCCAGGTAGAGAATATTCAGACGTTGCCCTTCTTTTTGGGGCATACATAAAACTAATCAGTGTTTCTATTAAGAGAAGATAGCAAGTTGCAGTTGATAAAACACGAGCAATAAAAGTCCTCCATTTCTTGCCTGCCAGAGGGAGAATGAATGATGGAGCATTGTGATGTCATGATACAGGTTGTGATGTCATGATATGATACAGAAGAGAGCAACAGAATGAGGGACGTGGCTACATTTTCTTCCACATGTCTCAGTTAACATGTACAGCTGGCCAGGGATTCATTGTCATGAATACCTGGACTCATGCTGATAAAAACAGGGTTGGATTTCGAAAGCCAAAGGGTGGCTTCATCCAACAAACACCTGACTTTCAAGGCTGTGTTTTATTTTGCAGTGTATTCCTTCTCGTGGAGTCCTCGAGCCAGCCAACCGGGTCTCCAGGCTATCGTCTGGATACATTAAACCAATTGAGAGCAACTGAGCCGAATCATCAAACCTACCAGACCGCTCAAGGCTCTCCTGCGCTTCCTCGTAAAACTCTTGAATGAAGAAGGAAGGATACACACTTGGGACCTTTGGAGACAAACCAGTTATTTAAGGGAGGGAAAAGCCAAGAGGAAAAACAAAAAGCACAGAACCAGTGGAGTTGGGATCCCTTTTGCACTGAGATGCAGAGGCCAGTGGGGATGCTGCAGGTGGGAAGGTCTGAATGATGGACGTGGAAGGAAGTGTGCTTGAAAAGCACCGTCCAGGAGCTGAGCAACAGCCCAAGGGACGGGCTTCTGCAAGATGTTAATAAGGACAAAGGTCACCATTTTGACCAGGGACGGATTGCACCGTGCATATCCTCCACCCGCTCCTCTGTCTCCACCCCAGCAGGAATGGAACTTACTTGGACACAACCATACAAAGCAGCATTGAGAGGAGGGTGGTGCCTTTGGCTGTGGCACTCTTGCTGTTGAAATTTATGCCGTTAAAAGATGGTCAGATTTGGGCAAGGCATAGGAAGGATGGTAGGGGTGGAAGACTGCCAGTTGTAAACTAGCGCATGCCCAATGTTACCCCCCCTTTCCTGAAATCCATACCTCTTCCATCAGCTCTAGGGAACTGGGTTATATCTTGTGTTCTGTTTAATGTGACCAAAACCACATGACAGGTTTTCTCACCAGGGCTCCGTATTCTGTGGATCGGGACATGATATTTCTGAACCAGCCTGATCCCAGTGGCACCGATCCTTCGAGGCATCAGGCTTCTACAACCTAAGTGCCAGTCTCAACTTATACGAAGACTTGCGAGATGACCTACCATGCTCAGCGCCAAGCAATGCTGCAAAAGATCTCATTCTCCCGGGGATGAACACACTCCCCATTGGGGCCCACGAGAAAATGTCCAGAGAAATAAGAGAAGGAAACTGGAAAAAAAAGGGCAGCAGCAATCTTCTCTCATGGAGTGAGTCCAGAATTGATTTCAGAAGCATGTCTCCGGCCTCAAGATGGGCTTGTAACTTTGGGATGCTGTTCATGGGACTACTGAAGGCCAATGAGGGGGGTTAGGGTCAAAGTCAGAGATTGTGATTCACAAGTCATCAAGGCGCTATTATCAAAGCCTAGAGCAATCTGTGGCTAGGATTATGATCTGCCAGCAAATCCAAGGAAGGCTGGGGTGTGTGAGAAAGATGATGCTGGCAGCACCTTTTGAAGCAAACTGCTGTCTTATAGCCGAAGAAGCACACTAGAGGGAAGAAGGTAGCAGCACTCAGATCTGTACCACTCAAATGAGGGGGCGAAATCTTTGTACATCTTGTTTTTAAAAAATCTCCCAGCAAGCTAGCACACCAGGGGATAAGATAGTCAATATCCTCCTTCTCTGCTGTGCTTAATCATAAAGTAATAATCATGTGCCTCCAAGTCAATTCTGACTTAGGGCAACACTTTTCAGGTTTTCCAAGTAGAGAATATTCAGAAGTGGTTGACCCTTCCCCTCTTCTGAGGGTGCCCTGCGATTGTGCAGCTTGCCCAAGGCCACCCAGGCTGGCTCTACTCATAGGAAGCACATTGGGGAACAGAACGCCCAACCTCGGGCTCCACAGCCAGAGACCCAGTGTCTCGTCAGAAAAAAGCTTTGTTCGAAAGAGTGCTTGGGTACAGAAACCCACCCATATTCTGCACAGTCCAGTTCTAGCGGTAACATCTGGGTTTCTCCCACCTAATTTTGGATCTTTCAGAAACACCCCCGTGTTACCTTGCTTTGGGGGAAAATTGGGGGATTTTATAGTGTGTGCAACCCACATGGTCCTTTTCACAGGATGCTGCCTGAGGCATGAAACCACATGGAGATCTTTCGGTGTGGCTCCGGAATGAAAGAGATTTTGGCTGAACCTCTGTAGTTTTGCTCAGGCTTTGCTCAATCCAGATAAGGAAGAGTTAGGAACACACAGGGTGTTACATTTATGAGGTAGATCCTCCAAAGTCAGTCTACTGCAAAATAATAAGACTTTCATATAATTAAGATCAGCAGACTCTCTTACAGATAAACATTTTTTAAAGGATAGGACACCAGCTATTCCCCCGGTTTCTCTTTATTCCTGCCAAACTGGGGTGTAAATTACACCTGTGGAGAGAAATGATGTCACCAGAAGTAGTAAATTTCTGGTCATTAAATACTTCCTTCTGTCTTGAAGCTTGTTCAGCTCACATATAATCAGTTTCATTGTACTGAACTGGGGACGGAAGAAAGACGTCTTTGATTACTGAAAAGTGGCACTGTCATCCAGGGGTGATGTCGTCCATTGGTGGAGATTTTTGGCAATTTAAAACTTCTTCCTTCTATCCCACAGCTATCAGATAATGGAAACAGATTACTTCTTAGTTAAACAAGCTGAGGGACAAAAGGAGGAAGTCTTTACTGAAAATCTTCCTCCACCCGGAATGTCACCATTCTGCATGCATAATTAATTCTATATTGTTTTGACCAATAATTGCAGGAAAACATTGAAAACTTGGGAATGTAGGAATCGGCACTGAAAAGAGGCTTATTTGCAAAATAAGCCAACTTTTGGGATCACACTGATAGATATGGAGTGAAAAACAAGTCATTTGCTTATAAATGAAAAAAACACATTTGTGTCCTGCTCTTGTTTTGCTTACAGGATGCAGGCTTTGCACTTGGTTACCAGCTTGCACAAAAATGGCAGCGCATGGTCACAAACTAAAAAGAGGACATAGGCAAGATTGTATCTCCCAAGCATACAAAATCTCTGCACCAAGAAATCTGGAAGGTCATTTCCTAAACACTTATTGTTCTAATATTACAATTAGATTATAACTATCTCAGAAAACAATCCGTGATTTTTGTATCTACAGTAGAGATGCATCCAAGTGTCATCCAAAACTACAGATGTATGGATGTGCATACCTCTAATGGTATAAAGTGGTACAGTTTCAAAATAATACTAGCCAGGGACAGCTTTGTCATATGATATACCAGTGGCACAAATTAACATTTCCACCTACCAAGTTGCAGTGGTGTTTCTGCCACCATGAGAGATGCTACAATTTATAGGTGACCCCCCCCAAAAAAATACTCTGCCAGCTGGAGTCAGGAGAAATAAGATAATCCAAGACAACTCCCCATGTAGAATTAAAATACAGTGGTGCCCCCGCATAGCGAGGTTAATCCGTTCCAGATTAACCTTCGCTATGGGGAAACATCGCTATACGGATCAAAAAAACCCCCCATCGTTTAATGCGTTCCAAATGGGCCCAAAACTAAACTACACACCCCATCGTTTAATGCGTTCCAAATGGGCCCAAAATTAAACTACGCGTTGGCTCATAGAAGGCTCTAAGGAAAACTATCTGCAGCCGAATGTTGTATTTCTGTAGATGCCACCTATGGCAAACTCTTGCAAGTAAATAAATAAATAGACCAAAGAGAGATCTACCCATTCCAAACGCCCCCTCCAAATTTCCTTTTTAAAAGACTGCCTTTAATGCGTTCCAAATGGGCCCAAAATTAAACTACGCGTTGGCTCATAGAAGGCTCTAAGGAAAACTATCTGCAGCCGAATGTTGTATTTCTGTAGATGCCACCTATGGCAAACTCTTGCAAGTAAATAAATAAATAGACCAAAGAGAGATCTACCCATTCCAAACGCCCCCTCCAAATTTCCTTTTTAAAAGACTGCCTCTCTAGGTTCTAGTTTTCTTCAGACATCTAACAGACTCCCACTGTATCTTGGCTTTTCTTTAAAAAAGTGATAATGATTAAGTAAAGCACAATAATATATGCCAGCTAAAGAAAAAGTAATGGAATCCTGTACATGAAAATAAACTTATTTTTTTAATCCTTTAACCGAACTAGCTAAGCTGCATAGACAAGTGTGAAATCAAGTCTTTCTTTGGACGAATGGCAAATCTCTATCGTGCAATATTTAAAGCAACTGTCATCATCATAACAATAACAGACACACCTTTTTATTATTATTATTATTTTTCATTTATGGCACTATTTATCAAAACAGTTAACTGGAAAAACAACAGGAACAACAACCAGCCTTAAAGCCAATAAGGTTCTTCCCACCTTCCCGAAGTATGAAAAAGTGGTGTGAATTTTTTGGTATCCTTCTTTTGCTTTTTAAAGGGGGGGGGAATTCTTGGAAACAAATTCAAACGTATGGAATTCTGCCCTCCAGAATATTTTGCATGGGCCTTTAACTGCATTATAAGCAAAAGTGAGAAGCCCTTCATCAAATACCACCCAGACCCAGTTTGTTAAGGAAAATTCAGGGGCATTTATTTAAAAAGACAAGGTTTTTCCACAAGAGGTCTTTTCTAAGTGCCATCCCCTCCTGTCTACATGCCTGTCTCCTTTATTCACAGCAGTGAATCATGGAGAAACCCAATCAGTCCCCCAGAGCCACGCGTCCTAGGAACGCATTTTGGCTTGGGTTGCGAGCGGGCGTCAAGCCCCCAGGCCTTTGATGCCGCTATGGTGTGAGCATGGAAGGTGCCATCTCTGAGCCACAGGCTGCCAGCCACTCATGAGGGCATGTGTATTGGGGTTTGGTAGCACACGGTCCAGAGGGTGGAAGATGGGTTTGTTTTGTGTGAGGTATTTTCCCCCCCTTCATTTTTTTACGGCTGCACTGTCTGTTCTCGACTTTTAATTCAACTGTATTTAATTTGTTAAAATAAAAATTCGAGTACGGTTTTTAACGGCCAGGAGCCCCTTGAAATCTCTTACGCCTGGAAGTTGTTACGGTAAGAAAGAAAATGGGGGGCAGGCCAGGGTGGAGGAAAATTGATTTCCTGAACGCTGACCTGGGATGGTAGATGATAGGTTTGGGTACCGTATTGAGTTCTGGAAAAGGTGCAGTTGTGTTTTGGGCTGGACCGGACCGGACCCCCTCAGAAATCTCCCAGCCAGCATGGACCAGAAACTGAGGATTTGGGAAGTCACAGAAGCTCACCGAGGGCAGATGCTCCCTTAAATCAGGAATAGTGAAGCTGGTGCCGTATAGCAATGGTTCCCAACCTTGGGCTTCCAAATGTTCTTGGACTACAACTCCCAGATGCCTTCACCACCTCTGCTGGCCAGGATTTCTGGGAGTTCAAGTCTAAGAACATCTGGAGGCCCAAGGTTGGGGACCACTGCCCTATAGGCTCTGGGGCAGCAGACCCTAGAATTCTTGATCATTTGCTACCCTGGCTGAGACTTGTGCCCCCAAACATCTGGAAGGTTGGGCTGTCTACACACCAGGCTTATGCTTTTTCAGCCATGTCCTTTTTCCTTCCTTTAAGCGAAAGTAATTTTTTTACGAACGGCTAGCTAGCGTTGGAAATTGCTGGGCACTCCAGCTGACCAATGGACATACGATGCCTGTCCCTGCCAACGCCTCCGTTTCTTGCATCCTCTCTGTAGGCTAAGTGTTTTGAAGAGTCGTTAGGCCTGCAAGAGAGGGAAGCGCAGCCCTTTTCAAGACGACGGTCTAGTCAAAGGCTGCCCCAGTCTCACGGCTACAAGCAGGAGGCATTTCAGCAGGAGAAAGAGGCTGAAAGAGGCAGAAGACCTTGCACCACCACCCCCGCCCCCTCACAGGTGATGCAGCCCTGAGGACTCATAGGCACGAAGCCATGACGGCTTTCGATGATGCAGCAAAAGGTGGTGGCAACCTGGTCTGTTCAGGAATGAGCGTGGATACGTAGCTTTCCAAGTCAGAACTTCCAGAGCCCTCCATCAAGCTTGGCCGGGAGCCATGCTGTCAGGGGAGGCTGTTATGGGAGTTGTAGTCCAAAACGTGGCATTTCTGAGCTAGGTTCTGCCTGAGATTTAGCCACTGTTTTCATAGGAAACATGTAATAAAGAATGACAGCCAAGGCGGCTTCTTCCCGAGATCCCTATTTAGCCCTCCCCAACCTGCACTTTCTTGAAGCACTAAAGTGCCCATCGTTCCCAGACACCAAGCCCATGGCCACATTGGCTAGGGAGGATGGGAACTGTAGTCCAAGACATGTGGAGATGCTCCATTGGGAACAGCTGTAACGTCCTACTCTGTGAAAGGGGACTGTTAAACCATAGGGATGTGCCATTCGGATTTTTTGGAGGTCCCAGCCACACAGCAACACCTAGAAATAGTTATTTTTTTTTTGTCCACTTGGAGAAGGCCTTGTTCGAAGGTTCCATGGCCTAGTTCTGATCTAGCTTCCTGTTAAAAAAAGGAAGCTGACCAACTACTACCTGGGAATCCTAGAGCCTTCTGGGAGATGTAGTCTTGCCACCCTTTAGCCTTTATAAACGGCCTATAGAAGAGCTTTGCAGGAAACCCCCTAGGACTCCCAGGTAGCACTGGCATTGCTTCCTTTTTGTTTAAAACAGGAAGCTAGGGCATGAAGCTTTGAAACAGGCCTCCTCCAGGTGAGCGAAATGTAGGTGTGTCTCTAGAGGTGGGTGGGTGGTCTGGAAATCCCATAATTCTAAGAATCCAAAAAACACACACCTCTATTAAAAATACATGGCACTACTCCGAACTTGCTTGGATAAACCCAGTATGTGCTGTTCTCAGCTCCCCCTCTATCCCTTTCTATGCACCTGGATGTAGGGATGACCAGAACTCCACTGCCTTTTTTGCCTCGATCTAAACGTAATTGGTGTACTTCCTGAAAACAGATGATAGGGCAGCTTTCTCTTTTGCAGGATGCACCTGTTTCCAGAAGCTTCTCTAGTCTCTTTTGGCTCTGGACAGTCAGCTACAGCCAGCTTCTCATAAAACAGACCCTCCCCCCAATAACAATGCATCTGTGTTAAGATTTCTAACTAACATAGTACCAGCAGATTAGCACATGGAAAACCATCCACCGGCACCCTCTTGCCCATAGTGGGGAGAACATATGGCTGGGCTATGGAGGTTCTTCATGCACTCTTGACATAGAACTGTCAAGTGTGCAAATCCTCAAGAGTCACGTGCAACCTTCCACGTGCAACCTCCCACATGGCTTGCACAGATCTCTCCACCCATTCCTGGCATTTGTAGGACAAACCTGAGGTGGCTCTTTGGGTGGTCTTTCTTTAGCTCCTGTGGCTTGGACTATCAGATTAATGCAAAAGGGTAACGGTTACATTCTTACTCTGCCCAAACAATCAGCAAAACAGGGTCTAAAAACAGAATTTAAAAAATCCCCTATTCTTCACAGTAGCAAGGGTTTCGTCTGGAAAGTCCGAGAAGGAGCCCAGTTCAAATTGAATCACTTCAGGTCAGCTTCTGAAAGTCAGTGATCCCTGATGGGCTTTGCCACATTGCTACATCCTCAGCATCTTTTCGTTACAGCTGGGGCAAGACGCCAGCAGTAGGGTTGAACTCCAGAAAAGAACGGTTCCTAGATGGGCTTTCTGTCCCATTTCATGTTATTTGGAGTCAACCTCCTAATTTCGTTACTGATCACTCATACCTAGGAAATTCATCAACAGGGGGCAAACCCTTCATGAGGATTTCGTGGAGGAACAAGGAGGGGAATCCTTGCCCGCACCCAGGCTTTCCTGCCCCACAAATTCATTTCAGGAGCTGGCCCTCTGCAAATGTTCAAGACGAAGCAGCTGGAAGGCAGAGCAGGCACGTGGCGCACCCTCTTCAGCTCAGCTCACGTACTGGATGCTCCCTAGGAAGGGCAAATCCGTTGACTGGACGATTCGGCCTGCAGCACGCTCTTCGAAAACAATGATCTGGGGAGGAAAGAAGAAACAGAGTCGCATTGGACAGGTGACCACGTGCATTTCTTTCTCTTGACTTGACTGAGAAGAAATCCAGGGGGACATAATAGAAGCAGACGTGCAGAGTTTAGTAACAGCTGGCTTATGTATCGGTAGGACAGGACGCATCGGTCCATTTCAGTTTCTTGGAATTCCTTAGTTCTCCTCTTCTGCACTTCTAGATTCCTTTTGCCCCTGCATCTGCTGCTCCAGGGGAGTCCTTAAGAAGATCCGGCTACAAGGAAGCAAGCCTTCGGACAGAAGTTCTCGTATCAGCCAACTCTCAACACTTACCTTCTTCTGCACAAAATAAAAATGGAGCATCCTAAAGGACCGACCACCTACGCACACCCTGGAGCCTTCGTTCTTCAACAACCTGCCAACTTTTCAAAGTCAAGCTCCGCTTCAATGGGATCTTCACACGACCAGGGGGTGCCAACATTCACCTGGAGGTCGCGCTGGCCTGTAACAAGTTGGGTGACAGTCTGGGAGATGCAAAAGACTGCAGGGTGGTGCTTAAGCCGCTCACCTCGTTGTGTCCCTCCTGGAGCCAGGTCCCTGGGAGGTAAAGTGTTTCCTGAGGACCAATTTTCCAATAGCGACCGAGATTCCGCCCGTTGACAAACACAACTCCCTTTTCCCAGCCCTAGGAACAAGAGAATAAGGTAGCACAAGACCCAGGTGTTTCACTATGTGAGACTATTTTTATATATTCTCCATCAGCCTTTATAGGGCAAAGGACTGAACTCAACACATCCCCCCCCCGCCTCAAACAACACTGTGAATCCCTCAAGGGCATGAAGGCGTACCACAGCAACACCTAAAAAAAACAACAGCCAAGCAGGAAGACCACCTGGCTTGTGAGATGGTGGCAAGGAGTTCCACAGGGCTTGGAGATTTGTTGTTCAGAGTGAAGAATTCTGCAAACGTTCTTTGCATGCCTGAAAAATAACTCAGCGGCTTACCTCGAGCTTTAAGAATGTGTCCTGAGGCATATATTGCACTTGAAGGGTTCCTCGGAAGAAGGCAGGGCCCACGGCGCTGTCCGGGACAGCGCTCCAAGGAGTAGATCCACGTAGGCTGGCAGGAAACAGGGAAAAAAACTATTAAGAAGCAGATCGTCTCTCAAGAGTGGTCAATAACCCCTTGAAGAATCCAGTTGTCTCAAGCTTTTGCCACGGGAATCATTCGCCACCCTTCTCCTTCTATACTCCCTCGCTTTTCTTCTCTTCCCCTTCCTCAATACTCAAATCCCCAGATGGTCACCCGGATAGGAGTTTATGCCACCAGCATGACACCCTGGAGGCATAGGCAAGACCTCTGGTGCCACCTTTCAGAGGGGCAGAACTCCCCCCCCCGCCGTTCACCAGCCTCTCTGTCTGGAAAGGGAGTGCCAGAGATGATAGCATTTCAACAGAGAGCTGGGGGATGTCACTTCAGTTCTCGTCTCGTTTTGCTTCAATTCCTTCGGGCTGTGTCTATTGCCTTATTTAAAAAGCCCCCTGTATGCCCAAGGATGACAGAGACATAATCAACGTGGGCACTAACACAATGAAGGGTTGCCCTTGGGGATGCTGAAACCATATACAGGGGAAAGGGAAGGTGCTGCTACAGGTGAGGTGGCTGGTCCGGCAGAATTATAGGTCTTTCTCCCATTGGCAACAACATACAGGGTTTCGCCATAATTTGGGAGAGCCGACGAGAGCACCAGTTGACTCGTGGACCGGATTAAAACCTCGGAATGAGAAAGCAGCAGCTCTGATGAACTAAAGTGAACTGTACTTCGGCCAAGAGGGCTCTTTCGCCCACATCCTGCTGGAAGACGTCCCGGAAGAAAGCGGTTGGCTTTGGGTAAAAAGTTGGTAGAAAAGATAAGAGTTTTGGTCTGATCTGGCCCAGTTCTTCTCGTGACCTGCGGTAGGTTGTCTTTAATTCAGAACGACAGAGTTAGGTTTGATGGAAGGCCTGAATCCTTTCGTGGGGTGGTGGCTGCTGTTTAGTAAACAAGCACTGGCTGAAGGAGGGGGTGTACAGCTTTTCTTTTCTCTCCCCAGACAGGCCAATTTCTAGTGTAAGGGTTCGGCACGCACTTTGTACAGAATTCATTACTGTAAGAACTTTAGATTTGAGAGCTTTCTTGGTTTAAGGAAGGCCTTTCTCGCTTGAGGGATAGTCAACCTGTAGAATTATTCCCCACTAGAGATGGGCACGAAACACAGTTCGGCACAGTTCAGCTGTTCCGTGGGCAGCCCGGCTTCCCTTGCCCCTATTTCCTCCAGCGAGCACCCACTTAGAGGCAGTGGTGTGGCTTCTCGGCCCTTCCCAGCCTCCTCCAGGCGTTGCCCCCCAGTGGGTGCCCACCAGAGGAGGTCGAGCAAGGGAAACTGGGGCACCCGCAGAACAGCTGTATAGCCGAACCACCGAACCGTGCTTCGGGCCCATCTCTATTCCCCACTGAATGCTGTGACGGCAAACACTGGCTTATAGATGGCTTTAGAAAGGGGATTATATAAAGGGGATGATATAAATGGGTTTCTAGAGTTTAGGGGAACCACGGGGCTGCACGGCTACGTTTAGGCTTCCCATGGACTTAAAACAAAGTCCTTCGAACTGAGGTCACATGGGAAGTGAGATCAAATCAACACATGCTAGCTGTAGTTCCATCCTTGCATGAAACTGTGTTAGGGCCAAATGGTGCTTGAAACCCTCAGCCAAAGACTTCCTGTTTGTCTGCTCAGAAACTAGAGGAAACTCAAATCATTAGTAAAGGGGCAGCTGCAGAGCTCAGCCATTTTGTTTTGTTTTTATTCTTTTTTTTCCTTTTTTTTTTGCTTAATCTGTCTTCCCCGTCCTTTGCCAGATGCTGGCTTGCTGGCAGCTGGAGCTGCTAACTAGGTTTTGTCCCTCTGCCAAATGCGTTTGCTGTAATGAAGAAAAGAGGAAAACAAATAACTATGGAGGGATACGGTGTGCATATTTGAGCGGGAGAGAATGATGGCCCCAACCTTTCCATGAAGCTGGGTTTCATTTCCAGGCTGTAAATCTTGAAGTTCCTCAAGGAGGTTTTGTTGAGAGAGATGTCACCAATTAAGCCTGCGAGAGAAATGAGAGAAAATGCGGGGCTTAAACAGCCACAAGGCTGATGAATCGCCTTTGGAAGCAGAGGGAACAGAGAGCGGCTGAAAACTGGAACAGCAGCGGCCGTAGCAAATTAAGGCCCACATGGTCTCCATTATCCGTGGACAGAAAAGCCTGCAGGTCCTGACAAGTCTGGAGGCTTCTCCGTTTCATGCCCAGGATTAACTCACTTTCTGCACCTCGAGAATAATTGCCAGCAACGAGGTGTCTGCTCAGAAACTAGAGGAAACTCAAAACCAGGCATTAGTAAAGGGGCAGCTGCACAGCTCAGCAATTTTGTTTTGTTTTTCCTTTTTTTTTTGCTTAATCTGTCTTCCCCGTCCTTTGCCAGATGCTGGCTTGCTGGCAGCTGGAGCTGCTAACTAGGTTTTGTCCCTCTGCCAAATGCGTTTGCTGTAATGAAGAAAAGAGGAAAACAAATAACTATGGAGGGATATGGTGTGCATATTTGAGCGGGAGAGAATGATGGCCCCAACCTTTCCATGAAGCTGGGTTTCATTTCCAGGCTGTAAATCTTGAAGTTCCTCAAGGAGGTTTTGTTGAGAGAGATGTCACCAATTAAGCCTGCGAGAGAAATGAGAGAAAATGAGGGGCTTAAACAGCCACAAGGCTGATGAATCGCCTTTGGAAGCAGAGGGAACAGAGAGCGGCTGAAAACTGGAACAGCAGCGGCCGTAGCAAATTAAGGCCCACATGGTCTCCATTATCCGTGGACAGAAAAGCCTGCAGGTCCTGACAAGTCTGGAGGCTTCTCCGTTTCATGCCCAGGATTAACTCACTTTCTGCACCTCGAGAATAATTGCCAGCAACGAGGCTGGATGTTTCATTCTGCTCCCAGCAAATACGTAGGATCTTGTCTCTCGTGTGAGAAGCTGGCTGGTGGGTTCAAAATACAACATGGAAACCATGTTGGTCTCTGAAGTGCTACCGAAGGGCCGAAGGTTTATGCGCGCTGGGAATAGGGGCGTTTGATTTGCCCAGGACTTTAAACGTCAAGATCACTGGGGCCACTTCTCAGACAGTGTCAGAAGCTGTTCCCGGTTTTGAAAGCTGAGAAGCAGGGGCTGCTGTTCCAGAGGCACAGATCAAATCGCTCCTTGCAGTAAACAGCTAATTTGCCGTTCTTTGGTTCCTGGAACCTTACTCTCTCCCAGATGTCCCCCAAACCATTCAACAGAATGAATAACTCTACGAGATTGGGGTTTGAAAGCAAGCGTAACCAACCTCTGAGACCAGGGAAACAGAGGCAAAGGAAGGATGGCTTGGGTTACAAAGCGATTCAAAAGCTGGCTATGAACTGCCTAGATTGATCACTCTGACAAGCTATTAGTAGAGAAAGAAGTAATTTCAGAAGACTTTGGGTTTCAAGTTGCGGCAGAATTAGTGGCTGCTTTGCTCAGTGAATAGATCTTCCACCTTTCAACAGTTCACTCCAGATGTTCCAAAAAGCACATGGGGGTGGGAGGAAGAGGTTCAAGCCTAAAGCGGGTTTGAGCAAAGAATAACACCAAGAGCACACTTCAGAAGAACCAGAAACAGCCTTCTCATTAGATCCCATAATTCCCAAAGTGAGCAGCTCTGTATGGCTTCGCCTGATTTCTGCTTTCAGTTTTCAGACCCGGCTGCAAGAGCTACAGCATCAGCCAACGATTAGATAATGAAAGCGAAGGCAGTGAAAAGCCACAAGGGTCAAGCCTGTCAAACCGAAGCTTTACAAACACTCACATTGCTCCAAAATTAGCAGCACCGGCTATTTGAAAAAGAGAACAATTGTTGATGTAAAGCATATCAATTAAAACACCCCATTCTGTAATTCCCCTTTAGTGGGTGGAACAAAATTTCGTGGGGCTAAAGGTGACATCTGAACGCTTCTTGCCACTCCAACTGTTTGGCAGAAGGAGAAAAACTTAGGTAAAATAAAAGAAAGTATGCATACAAAAGTATGCTTCTTTTAAGACCAGTCACAGAGTTCAGCGCTTTTTGTCACAAAATGCACAACGGTCTTAATGGCAAACTGCAAGTTGCTAAATTCAATATTAAAACAAAACTGTGATGACTAAGGTAAAGATAAAGGTTCCCCTTGACATTTAGTCCAGTCATGTCCAACTCTAGGGCATGGTGCTCATCCCCGTTTCCAAGCTGTAGATCCAGCGTTTGTCCATAGACAGTTTCTGTGGTCACATGGCCAGCGCGACTAGACATGGAACGCCATTACCTTCCCACCGTGGTGGTACCTATTTATCTACTCGCATTTTTACATCTTTCGAACTCCTAGGCTGGCAGGAGCTGGGACAAGCGACGGGAGCTCACTCCGTCACGTGGATTCGATCTTACGACTGCTGGTTTTGATGACTAACTATGTGATTAAAAAACTATATGGAGATGCCTTGTTAATGGAACTCGCTGATAAAAAAGTAATGATAGGGGAAAGTAGTACAGCCCACCTTTCCGCTGGTTGTTCAAGTTACGCCCATAGTTGACTCGCCCGCAGTTTTCAACCAGGAGCCTAAGTTGCCTATATCCCTGTAAGGAACAATAAAGAACATCCTTGAATCCAGGAAGACAAAGAAACAATATGGGCAAAGACAGACAATGAATGAATTACTGGATAAAGCATGGGATGGCTGAACTGCAGCTGAGGATGAAGACCAAAGCAATACTGGCATTCATCTCAGGGAGAGTATTTCTGGAACACCCTAACCGCACTAAAAATGTTACCTCTGTCTTCACCCTGATGCAGCTAAACAGACGACACAGGGTTGATTCTGAGCTAAAAAATTCTGCAACTTTAAAGGGCAAAAATCGTAGAAAAGAAAGCCATATGTTTCAGTGCAACTGCTCATGCAGTTTCTCCCACTTGCTCGCTGTTTCTCACACAGCCAAAGGCAAAACTAGTTGCTTGACTGGAAGATGCGGGGGAGCACAAGCAACGGCCAACTCCACAGGCAAAATCAGTTCTGCAATTACCCTTACACAACTGCATAAGGTATTAAGATTCTGCCTGAAAGCAGAACTATTCTGTGCATGAATACCTGACCACCAGGATGTTGGTCAGAGATCTCCCTTGAGCCTCCATTTACAATCTGTAGAGGTTTTGCCTTAAAAAAAAAAACAGCATGATCTGGTAACGAAGGAAGGCATCAATAAACAAATGTCCACGTGGTGCTTTTCAAAATTAAGAAGGGAAGATGGCAGGATACCCAGAGCAGATCAAGACTCATGGCATAAGGTGATCCCCACAACCATAAGGGAAGATGGCAGGATACCCAGAGCAGAACTGATGATCAAGACTCGTGGCATAAGGTGATCCCCACAACCACGGCAGTTTCTATCGCTTATAAAGGCAGGGCCCTGCTTGTGGTTGTGATATCACCTCCCACACTGCCTTTGTCATAATGCCTGGGGGTAAGAATCAAGGAGCCATGGCAACAGACACTGGGGGCTGACTCTTGCTGGCAACTATGGAGTGCAACGGCTGCAGCGGTGGAGAGCGCTGCCATTCGTGCGGCAGCTACCGAAGCCCAGGATTGCCCTGTCAAAAACAACAGTAGGACAGAGGACAGTGAATGCTGACTTGAGCCACTGGTGTAAACAAACCAACAAACCTAAAAAAGCATCGGCCCATACAATGGGCAATCACATCTCTCCGCTCCACCCCAAAAAAGGTAAAAGTTCCCCTTGACAATTTGTCCAGTCATGTCCGATTCTAGGGCGCGGTGCTCATCCCCATTTCCAAGCCGTAGAGCCAGTGTTTGACCGAAGACAATCACGTGGCCAGCGTGACTAGACACAGTACACTGTTACCTTCCTGCCGAGGTGGTACCTATTTATCTACTTGCATTTGCATGCTTTCGGACTGCTAGGTTGGCGGGAGCTGGGACAAGTGACGGGCGCTCACTCTGATGTGTGGATTCGATCTTACAACTGCTGGTCTTCTGAGCCTGCAGCGGTTTAACCCGCAGCGCCACCACATCCCACCCAAAAAAAACCCAAAAACCAAAAAACCACCAAATGTTGCCAGTTCAGACCAAAAGTAATTCAGCCCCCATTAGAGCACATGTGGGCATCAGGGAAACTGCACTGTCAGCCTGTGAGTTACCTCTGGACTTCAGAATAAGTTCTGATGAAGTCTTCTGAGGATCTGTATTCCACCACCCCCCAAACCACCCCTCACAGTGTTTATTTTATACATTTGTTACATTTATATTCCACCTTTCCTGCAATGAGCTTCAGGTAGCATCCCTCGCTCCCTTCCTCCCCACCCTATCCTCTCAAGAACACTGAGAGGTAGACCAGGCTAACAAACTGTGAGAGGCCCAACGTCACCCAGGGATTTTCACGTCTGACTAAGGATTTGAATCCAAGTCTCCAGGGTCCTAGGTCAACAGTCTAGTTCCCAGTTCAAGACAAGTGTATGATCATGGGACCACAGAATCATGGAGTCATTGAGTTGGAAGGGGCCTCTAAGACCATCGAATCCAACCCCCCTGCTCAGCGTAGGAAATCCAAGTCAAAGCAGATCTGACGGAGGGTGGTCCAATTTTCTCTTGAACGCCTCCAGCGCTGGAGCGCTCGACACCTGCTAAGATAATTGGTTCCACTGTCAAACTGCTCTAGCCGTTAAGATGTTTTTCCTGATATTCAGTCTAAAATTGTCTTCTTGTAGTTTGAGTCCATTATTGCATGTCCTGTGCTCTGGGATGGTGGAGAACAGATCCTGCCCCTCATCTGTAGGACTACCTTTCAAGCATTTGAAAAGTGCTTTCATACACGTTAGTCTGAGCTAGCACATCAGGCAAAAAAAGAATGGTTCATTCTGGTTGCTCCCCCTTCTACTCTAGCTTCTCCTCCTGGCGCAGATCCAGCTGCAGAGAGAGAGAGAGATACCTTGGCAGGGAACACACCTGGATAAAAGATAAGAATGACACATTTGCAGTGTGACTCGCACTGCCTTCTCCAGCTGCTTACCTGTCCATTAGGAATCAGCAGTTCTTGTGCGTTGTAATCAAGGAGGCCAATATACTGAGTATTAAGAAACACCTGCAAGACAGAAACAGCCAGCGTCTCGTTTATCAATCACAAAAAGCCAGAGGATTAGAAGAGGATTTGGGGGGCGCGGGGGTGAGTTGTGATGGACTACCTGGCAGGAATGGGGATTGTTTGGGGTCTCTCTTCAAAGCTTTGACTGTAAGCCTATTATTATAATCAAGCGAACAACACTTACAAGCAGCACCAGCAGCGGGAGAAAAAAAATCTGAATAAAGTATGCAGGCTACACAACACCAACATTTTATGTTTAGATGGAAACATCCATCTGTCCTCGCATGATGGCCAAATATTGTCCTTTTTGCAGGCTGAAATCCTGTTGCCTAGCGTAGTAATTTTAGAAGAGGTAGCGGTGTTAGTCTGCGTTGGCACATCAAGCAAAAACAGAAGAAGAATAAAGAAGATAAAAACGTTGCGGCACCTTGAAGACTACGCGCTAAATTTTAACGCGAGCTTTCGTGGGCCGGTCCACTTCCTCAGGCAATGTAGTGGGATGCACGAGTACAGGCCCACGGAATCAGTGGGGATTGGGTGAGGCAACTCCTCCATAACTTCCGCGGATTCAAATGGGTCAACTCTAGTTGCGACTTACTTACTACACTAATCAACAGGATCTCGTCCACAGGACTCCTTTCTGCTCCAGTGCACCTCTTCTAATGCTCATTGCCACCACGTGTTGTATAGACACAATTGAGTCACATCACAAACTGTTACACTAATCAACAGGATCTCGTCCACAGGCCTCCTTTCTGGTCCAGCGCACCTCATTGCCACCATGTGTTAGATAGACACAATTGAGTCACATCACAAACGGCCAGCAGACCTTGCAAAAAGTTAGTCCTTTTGCGCTGCCTTCTCAGACAGCTACCCCACTGGCCACCGTGGCTAAGACCCAGGCTATCTGCGACTTTTTGGAAGCTGTACTGGAGGACTAGCCTCTAGAGATGGGCACGAAGTGGTTTGTCCTGGATCATCCCAGTTCGTAAAGGCACGCTGAGCCTGATGGGTGGCTCCCCTCCCGTGCCGCCTCAGCCACTCATCAAGCTCAGCTTGCTTGTTTTCCCCACCTCCTCGGCGAATCTCCCAGTCACGAGCAAGAGCAAAGACTTCTCTGCCCTTCCCTCTTGTCTGAATGGGAGATCAGCCAAGAGGGCCAGGCAGAGAAGCCTGAGCTGCTGCCGGGACTGCAAGATCAAATGAGGTGGTGTGCTGCAGGGACTGGAAGATCAGTTGAAGAAGTTCAGGAAACTAGCAAGCTGAGCCTGTTGAGTGGCTGACTGAGCCAGAGGAGGTGGGGGAGGGGAGCAGCAGCGCCTGTGCTGTTGCCGTTACCAACTTGGACAAACCCGGTTTATTATGCCCATCTCTACTAGCCTCCTCTTCGGTTTTCTAGAGCTAAGATTAGAGAAGTGGGCAAAGAGAGCAGTTGTTGTGCTGGTTCCCAGACCAGTATTTTATACCAAACAGCTTTAGCTCTCTGACCAAGAGAAAACTTAAGAGGATCTTGGTAACTTCTCTAAGTTCTAACCCATCCACAGCAGGCTGATAAACCCACCTAGAACAAAAAGAGCCAAACCTAAAAAATCAAGCAGAGTTTCACATATTTGGTGGATCTTGGTAACTTCTCTAAGTTCTAACCCCTCCACAGCAGGCTGATAAACCCGAGGCTCCACCAAGAACAAAAAGAGCCAAACCTAAAAAAAGCAAGCGGAGTTTCACATATTTGGCATCAGCGAAAGCCAGAAAGGGAAAAGGTGCTCCTTGATCTAGGGGTGGTCTTAGGGATATGTGGACAATAAAGACAAAGCCAGCATCGTTTCCTCTTTCAGATCTACAGAATAAGCCAACTGGCTGATGGCTATTAAGTTGGACACCTGTGCTCTGTCCCGGACGTGGTCTTCAGAAGACAGCCGTCCTCCACCAGGTATGACGGTCTCATAGAGGGTGTATCCAAACGCTTGCCCGTTGCCATGGTTGATGGGGAGATTCTCCATGTTAAGGGGGAACTCGGACTTGGTAGGCTGTGAAGAAGGAATCAAACTTGCAACAAAATCCTAAGATCATTTACTCAGACATGTCTGCCTAGGCCATACGTATGTTCTGTTCAGTCCTACTTAAGCTTAAGGATGGCTATGGGGTGTTACTACCGCTCCCAATAGGGTGGTAGAGGGGGCAGAGGAAATCTCTCTCAGTGGGGACAAAGTGCATGCCACTCTTAGGGGCCCCCATCCTCCCCAATCTTTGACCGATCAATTGTTTTGGAGCTTTACTGGTATAAGACAGGTGGAAGGTAGCCTGACATGACATTAAAATGGCAAACCGTGCTCACTGGGCAGGCAACGTGACATTTCTATGACCTCCACGGTCCAAGGAGGGCAAAATGACCTTGACACGCTCTGAACCAGCCCACTTCCAACCTTACATGGATAGAGGCCTTTGTTTTTGGTAGCTCGTTTCTCATGCTCCAGCATCTGCCAAATTAATCTGAATACCCTCCACATCCCCCTTCACAATGAAACACGTGTATAAATATCTGCCTACTCAAACAATATCTGCATAATACTCATGTATCTCATGAAGCAGGCTGAAAGTCCACGCCAAGGAAAAGGCCCCAAGATTGGGGTGCTAAAATCTGAAAACACTCCTCGGCAGGAAGTGCAGTACCTACCTCTACCAGAGAGGGCAGCACTTCCCATAGCGAGATATACTGCTGCATTAGGATGGCGCCGTAGGATGCCTTATTGAGAATGATAGGAGGCGGAGGTAATGGGCTCCCTTTGAATAAGGAAAGAAAGAAAGTGTGGAGTTCAGATGTTGTGTCAGCTGAGTAGCCACCGACATGTAACACTGCCCCAAATAACCTCGTGGGCACATCTCAACCAACAATCAAAAAGTCAATTGTTTTTTTAAAAAAAATTCTCCCCAAACGCTTGGGTTTTGTCTGTGTCGTCTTTCCTCCTTTTCTTTACTCATCAGTTAAATCTTCCCCCGGCCACCTTCCTCATCTGCTCTCAGTCTTTTTGTCCTCAGTCCTGTTCTGCCCAAGGCTGTGGGGGAAACCACAAGGTATTGCTCGCAGGCAGCGGTGGTGTCGGCACGGCTTCTGATCTTGCCATCAAGGGCAGAATATGCACGGGTCACTGAGGCCAGCTAAAAGAAAAAGCACAGGAGGCCAAGGGGTCTGGAACCGCTGCAGGCGGTAGAGGGCGCCGGAAAAAGGCAGTGGTCCAATGAATACTTGAATGAATACCCAATAGCCATAAACGGACTCCTGTCCTCTGAAGATGCTGGCCACAGAGACTGGTGAAACGTTAGGAAGAAAAACCTTCAGAACACGGCTAAAGAGCCCGAAAAACCCACAACCCCCATCAGAATATATAGAGTTTCTCTCTTTTCTAATTTGCATTTAAGTTTTCCAGCACGGAATATTCCCTGGAAGAGAGATTATTACTCCACACACGTGACTGACTGCTGCCTCGTCATCCAGCTATGATGGACCACTTCCAAAGCAAGATGCCCTACCATTCCAGAGTAACGGGGGCTCTGCTAGAGGCACCACCCACCCCTGAGCCCATTTTCAAGCTTTACTCAGGAGGCGCCAGCTGGTACTCGGAGGCGGCCGAAAGGACATCCGGGGAATTACCTAGGATCTTTGAGAAAAGGTGACGCAGTTTGAAGAATTTAGAGGTATAGTCTCCAGACTCGGTCAGCACCGCATCATAGTCTGGAAAAGAAAAGTAAAACCATGAAGGGCAAGAGAAGGATGCCCAGCAGGGGACAAAATGGTTAGGAGGCCGTGTATTCTCAGTGAATTTTCCTTTTGCTCAAAGGTTTTTAAAGTACCACTGCTGAGCCGTGGAAACTGTCTTAAGCGAGAGAGAAAAGCTACTTAATTATTAAGAACTGACTTTACAGTACTCCGATCCTTGTGTCCTTCGGCAAATGTGTGTGCTAACATTCCTGCTGGCTGAATCTGCTACAGAATATTCCTCTTTGACTTTCTGCCCTGCTCGTAAGACCAATTTTGCCCCCAGGGTGGGCATCAAAAGTCCATACAAAACAGGATCGTGCAGCGCTACTCCTGATACTGGAACCGCTAGGCCACACTAGTTATGAGATAAAGCCCCCCCCAATAAATCATCCTTAAACTGTCACAATTTCCAAGAAGCGTCCCTTCCCAAAAGAAACAGCACTGTATGAAGATCGCTAACTGGCCACTTTGTCCCTGATCTGCTACCCAGATCCTTTCGGCGTGGCCCAAGAAGGCAGTCTCGGCTTCCCTCCCTTCCATCAACACAGCACACTCTTAAGCCAGCAGCATCACCTTACCATAGCTGGTGATGGTTGGCTTGTATTCATTAAAATGCAGTGCTCCATTCAGGAAACCGAAGTTTGTGCCTCCGTGAAACATGTAGAGGTTGATGGAGGCTCCCATCTTGATGATGCTTTTCACTGTTTGCACCATGTCTGGACAGAGAAGTGGCGTAGAATGCGTTAGAACCAGCGAATACTGTGAGACGTTATAGCAGAATAAACAAGATAAGATTGTTGTCGAGAGAGAGAGAGAGTCGGGAAAAGTTAGGTTAGGAACTGCCCATATTCTCTAGCCCACCTTGCTCGTGGCTGTACGGACTGAAGGATTCTGACAGTTGCAATTTTTAAGGGAAGTTTCCAAGCTAAATCTCCAGGAAATCACATCTGTTATACAGCCCCTCCAATATAAGCCCAACTCATGCCTGATAGTTACCGTATTTTTCGCTCCATAAGACGCACCTTTCCATAAGACGCACCAATTTTTTAGGAGAAGAAAACAGGAAAATATAATCTGTTTTCTTCGCTCCATAAGACGCACAGACTTTCCACCCCCCTGTTTTGTGGGGAAAAAGTGCGTCTTATGGTGCGAAAAATACGGTAACTCTCAATGTTAACTCATCTACTTTGCACTTAGTTTTCCTAAGGCGATAACAGTTCCTACAACAGCAACAATACATGCATTCATGTTCAGAAGAAGATCCTTCCTCTCCCACTCTAAGCATCCATATAGTAACTGGGTGGTTATGTTTTCATCTGTTTTTTCACACAAGATTCTCAACAAAACTGGTAACAAAGCATTCAACAAACCAGAATCATAGAAAAGTGAAGTTGGAAGAGGCCTACAAGGCCATCATCTCCAACCCCCTGCTCAACACAGGAACTTAAGGATGACTTTTTATAACTGAAACACCCAATATCTTCCTGCTACCACGGCCGCTGGCCATGCTGACTGGGGCTTATAAAGAACTGTAGAGGCCAAAGAAAAAGTAACTTATCTAAATTCCGACCAAAATGTGGGTAAACAAATAGCAACAATCTGGCAGGGTGTCATTTTTAAAAGGAGTCACAAAAGCTCAGGGATTCTTAAAAGCTATTCAAAATCATTCAGAATCAAACTAAGCTCTCCCTCCTGTGAACTAAAAAGCCATCCGATTCCGAACATGCAGATGGATTAACATACTTTAAGTAAATTAATAAATAAACCATGACTAGGGAATCATTATTGTGTTGCTGGTAATTACCCACTCTGCATCAGCAGGCTGAAATGCAGATCAGAAAAGGTAGGAAGAGGGCAGAGCAATTAACATTCTTCAAATGTGGTGCTACAGAAGGATTGATTTAAATATATATGCATATTTAATAGATGTAAATATGATTTCTGATAACACTGGAAAGAGCTTGCGGGCCGGCTCTGTTGATTGTCTGGAGCTAGAACAGATCAAAACAACAGACAGACAGAGGGAGTAACTGCTGGGGAGGCAGCCAAGAAATCCTATCAGACCAAGGTGCAAAATGAGTGGCCCTCCCCATATGGCTAGTCTGCAAAACCCATCAGCCCAAAACTGGCGTAACCAACGTTGAGAGATCACAAGAATGGCAACTCAGTAACATCTGGAAGGCTACCCATTACCTGCCCACTCCTGGTATTTAACAAAAAAGGTGCACCAACATCAGTAAGGAGGAGAGAGCGGTGACTCACCCTCTGCATCGAAGACATTATGGGGTCCTCCCCAACTATCAAACCATCCAGTCCAATATTCCATCACCATCTTTGGCATGTTGTGCTGTCAAAAGGGCAAAACAAAAGATCTCAGGAGACGGTCTTGTTCCTCCTGCCCAACCAGCTCAAGATCGTCTGCTCAGGTCCGCCGTGGGCTTCCCAGTGTCCTCTTGCGTGGCTGTCTCACCCAATAGCCTTCCATCTGATCAACCCATTCCAGGAAGAGGAACCTCCTGGTTGTTCTTCCTTGGTGCCTTTAAGCAGCCCAGTCTCTCTCCTCCAGCCGGCTTCCTGCCTGCTTGACTGCTTCTGATCTGTCAGCCAAAGTGCCTGCTCTCCTGTTATCACCTGGGCAGCACTGGTTTCCCCTCCTTGCTGATCAATCTTGGCAAGGACTGTAATGGCCTGAAGCTAAGCCAATGAACTCAGCTGCACTGATAATGGACAGAAAACGCGAGCAGAGAAACCTGCCATTGGAATGATGAGACTGCAGCGCATAACGCAAGACAGTTTGTCAGCCTTACGCTTTGGCAAGAAGGGTCCCTGCCTCTTCTGCTGCCAGCCCGTCCCCAACGTGAGCTATGGAGGCCCCTGCCTTCCACAAAATGGAAACCGCACTGCCGAACTGCCTCTTGCCAAACGTTGTTCGCTTTCATTGCTTAATCAATTGATGAGTATTAGAAAAGAAATTACCAGCCTGCTCAAATCGGTTTAACATGAAAAAGGAGACACGAACACAGACCCCATACTGTAAAACCAAGTCAAGCCAAAGCAATAATTTAATCCCGCCCCACTGGGGGACAAAGCGAACCCACTGCAAACAAGCTGGAATGCCGTTCTCCTGCCAAAATCAAGTTGGCTTATTTTTTCTCTCTCTTCTATCGGGAATAAGTGGAAAAGAGAGTTCTGATCCAAGAGGGAAAGGACACCTTCACATCAGCAACAGATGAGGTTATCTGCAGGTTATCTGCTTGGGCCAGTCCAAAGTTGTTTGGCTCCAGCTGAACCCCCCAGAAGCCACCCAGATATCCATCATCCTCTCAAGGCTCCCAAGGGTGATTCGACGAGGCAGCTTGCACATCAGAGAGATCAATGTATTTAGGCAATGATGATTCCCCCCCTCCCCCGTTTCATCACTGCCTAGGAGGGAAAGCACTGCACAATGATTCCATCCATCCCATGAGAAGGCAATGTATTTTGTAGTTCCCGCAAGAATTTTTTTTGGCAAAAAAATTAAGCAAACTAAGGGGAAAAAAACCATAATTGATTATGACCCAAAATGCACCTGCAGGGTTTACGCCAGGTTCAGTGAACTCATATCTGCACCTGGAGCCTCCCCCCCCCCATTCCTTGCAACGGGTGGCTTGCTGTTTGGTCTTCTTTTCCGAACGGGAAGCGCCCTGCCCTGCACAGGAGGAGGACAAGAGAGCGGCAGGCCTGCTCCGAGGAGGCTTCTTACCTGCACCGAGCTGAGATAGGTCCAGATCCCCGGCTCTAACTTCTGAAAGTTAATCGTGGCCAGCGCTGTTGTGGGGAGGGAGGGAGAGAAAGAGGGGAGGGTGTTAAAGCAGCCGTAAGGTTTATATTCCCCGCTCAACCTGGGCCAGAGATTTAGGAGGAAAACATTAATTTCACGAAGGAATTCTGGTCTGCCTACCAGAGGGGACTGATGTTCTCCTGCACCTGACTCAGCCATCCCGGGACTGCGATGCTCTTGGTAACTAGCCACCCAATACCACATAAAAGTTCGTATTGTGACATCATAAAGATCCAGGTGTGCATGTAATCATTTGATGCAGGGCTCGCCGAGCGACCACCCCACATAAACGTCTCACAGGAGATATAGCCAAACACAAACCTACGACTAACGCTGGGCTATATCATTTAGTACCATCCTGGTTTACTCTGCCTCATCCCATACCTTCCTACCCTGAATCCTACAGATTCTAGAGTCCAGTGAAGGTACTGAGAATTCTCCCCTCCAAACTGCCTCCCCTCCCACCCGTCTTTTCTTCCTGGCAATTTACAGCTCCTTGGAGAGAGGAAATTACTACTAAATCACTTACAGTCTGTATTGAAGGTGTGCCCTTCAGTTAAACCTGCAACACTTGCAACCTCGCAGAGACAAGCGTTGGGGGGTGGTTGAGACAGGTACCATGAGGTTTAATTAGTTCTGGTGGAGCAATTCGAGCCGCTAGGATGAAAGCTTGCATACCAGTGTCACCCATTAGCATCTGAAGTCCCATCCAGATGCTGCACTGATCTTCTGGGCTTCAGAAGCATGGACAGATGGGAGCAGCAGGGTTTTGTTTTTACACCCGTGCAAGAAGATGGGCAGAGTAGAAGGAAACAGGCGTGCAAGTGCAACAGAGAAGACAGGCCAACTCTCCCAGTCAGAGTGCACATGCTCACAAACATATACCCCTGAGCTCATGGCAGTTTGAGAACCTACACTAATAATGCCATGTGCAGGGTGTAAAAGCTATTCCATGGTCTGCAACACCTCTGCAATGATGCAGCCCAGACGTGCAACATCTTTTCCAGAGGCGGAAGGAAGCATTTACTTAAATTGGATTTTCTTCCCCTCTGATATCAAGGACTCAGATGCTGGCTGCAATGCGACTTGCTTCTTGTCTAATCCTCACAACAATCTTGTTAGCTGAAGAGACAGAATTCTGTCAATAATCTCTCAATAAAGCTTTGTGGAGGTGCAGAGGTTCACTGGGGTTTTGTGTATCCAAATCCAGTACTGAATCTATTGCAACATGCTGGCAGCTGCAACATGCTAGGCTATGCTCTTCTCTGATGGGATTTAGTCTTGCTGTTTGTACAGACACACAAAAAGGGCTGCTGGATCAGACCTGGAACCTTCTTCCAACATTAGCTTCTTAGATTCCTCCAGGAAGCTGTCTCAATGGGCCATCTACTGGTTGCTTCCCTGTGGTCTTGTACCAATTAGCAATGAAGTGTACAAGAAAGAAAGGACATAGCTCAGAAGGAGGCTGCTGAAAGGATCTGAAAGGAAGAGCAACCTGAAGGGCTGGGCCAGAGATAGCTACGTTGGTAATTCACAGTGGATTGGTAAGGACATCACACTGCACACAAAACTGCAGAAAAGAAGACAGAAAGACCACAAGTTCTATACAATTCTGCTGTTCTAAACTAATTCCCGGCTTCCATTTTGTTGTAGGTAAAGGTAAAGGTTCCCCTTGACATTTAGTGCAGTCATGTCCGACTCTAGGGCACAGTGCTCATCCCCGTCTCCAAGCCGTAGAGCCAGCGTTTGTCCATAGAGAGTTTCCATGGTCACGTGGCCGGCGTGACTAGACACGGAATGCCGTCACCTTCCCACCAAGGTGGTCCCTATTTATCTACTCGCATTTGCATGCTTTCAAACGGCTAGGTTGGCAGGAGCTGGGACAAGTGACGGGAGTTTATTCCGTCACTTATGACGGCTGGTCTTCTGACCCTGCAGCACAGAGGCTTCTGCAGTTTAACCCGCAGCGCGACCACGTTCCCCCCCCTTTTTGGTACATGTGTGTATATTCTTTGCATCAGGTTCCAGATAGCAAGAAAACCAAAATGATTCTTCAAGTCCAAGTTCTGCCCATCCCTGGAAAAAGAACCCAACCTGCAGTTTAACCCGCAGCGCCACCATGTTGGTACATGTGCGTATATTCTTTGCATCAGGTTCCAGATAGTGGATCTTTGTGTTGTAGTAAGAAAACCAAAATGATTCTTCAAGTCTGAATTCTGCCTATCCCTGGAAAAAGAACCCAAGTCATAAAACACCTGCATGCACTCACAGGGAAAGTATGGAACAGATTGATTTCTGTATTGACAGGACCACTGAAGACTAGAAGCATATTAAAAAAAACAAGGACAATTCTTATTCATTAGTGTCACCCACGGCATTTATATCCTGTCTTTTCTACGATCAGCTCAAAGCTCTCTTCCTCTTTGCTTTATCCTCACAACAATGGAGTGCCAGGCTCAGAAAGAGAGACCAGCCCAAGGTTGCCCCGTGAGCTTCACGGAGCTGCAAAGACTAGAGGCTGCCTCTCTTAAGTCCAGATCCAGCCCTCGAACCACTCTACCACGGCGGCTTTTAGGCAGGCTGCTTTTTGGGAGAATTGCATGCCCTCTGTTTCCACTAGGAAGAGGCTTTACTGACAACATCCCCGGGGTCAACAGGAACGACTGGCGTAGAAGCAGCTTAAGAAGACATACGTAGGCTGCAGCGCACAAAAACTTGCTTGAGTTTTCAGGGTGCCACAAGATTCTTCATGGCTTTTGCAGCAAGATGACATTTTCCGCAGGCAATCATCCTTCGACCGACCGGTTCGCTCTTCTTCCAAGCATGGCTCTTTATGTTTTGTCGCAGCCACCTTGCTGCTGCCGCCGCTGCTCCCTCCCCTCCTCCTCCTCCTCCACCGCCTCGTCTGCCGCCACCATCTCACTCAAGAGTCCTAGTTATTCCACACTCCTGATTACTTGACAGGTTGACTTTAATGAACAGATTGTTGTGACATCTGAGGCACGAGGTAGGATCAAGGCACGCTCTCTCGTCCCACGCGCCTGCCGGAGAAGACGACTCCAAATAAGAAAACGAGCCAATGCTCACACACAGTAAACACATGCAAGGGAGTGGGAGAGGGAGAGAGAGTGCCGCCTCCAGATGCTCCCCATCCTCTCTCTTCCTTGTCTCCTGCTGGAAGGGAGAGAATGACCCCATGTGGACATGGCTAGGATGTGCGACAGCTTGAAGATAAGGTGGTTGGATGGGGACATGAAAGGACCGGATGCCACAGGCTAACAATTTATGCCGGACACCCCTTGAGTCATGTACATTTGGATTTTCATTTTAAAAAACCTAAATGCAACAGAGAGCAGTAAGGACTACACCGAACTGCATCAGCAAAACATCGGCTGGCTGATCTCAGCGGACTACTTCCCCAAGAGGCACAGCAGGGATTATATTTCTGGACTCCTGGCTCTGCAGGCAGACACTATGGTGCGTCTTATGGAAAGGTGCGTCTTATGGAGCGAAAAATACGGGTAAATGCAACAGAGAGCAGTAAGGACTACACCAAACTGCATCAGCAAAACATTGGCTGGCTGATCTCAGCTGACTACTCCCCCAGGAGGCACAGCAGGGATTGTATTTCTGGACTCCTGGCTCCGCAGGCAGACACTCCCAACTCACTGAGCTCTCCTAGTTCTGATCCAAGTTAAACCTCGTGCCTCTACGTTAAGCCTTTTGAAAAGGCCAGACAGGACATCCTGATACAATAACTCCTAGTAACTGTCAGTCGAAGGTCCCTCTGGAAAGAAGGTGAGGGTGGAACACTTGGCAGATCTTGATGTGCCAGTGTTTTTTTTCCCACACCCAGCTACCATATCCACTTGAAGGAGAGGTTGCTCCACTCTCATGGAATTGCCCCCCTAGGAAGACAAGCGAAGCAGCGTTCACGGGCTTTCCCCAAGGATGGGGCTTATGCGGGTGGAGATGAAGGAGAAGGTGCAACCTTTCAAATATTCACCCCAGGGCTGCTCCCGGTTTGGATCCCAACCAATTATTCAAGCCATGCAAGGTATCACTCTTTTTAAACTCACCCTCAAGCCTTATTTGACTCTTTTGAAACGAATCACCTGCCGGGGCAAATACTTCAAACTCGCTTTAACAGAAGCCGCCTGCTGAGCCATTTTAAAAACTTGTGTTTCTCCCACTTGCAATGAGGNCCCCCCCCCCCCCCCCCGGTCTGAAATAGGAATGTCTGAAGAGGAGGTAACCTTGCATTTGTGGAGGAGGCTCTGCAGGGGAACCAGACCCCCAATTCTTCCATGTTCTGGCCCACATGGAGAATCAATGCAGCTAGAGAACTTCTCTTCAGAGAAACCACTGTCGTCTGAGGAAATGATGGCCAAAGAAGACGGAGCTGGCGGGCTTCCTTCGTTGTGTACAGTATGGCATGCACAAGTTTAACGAAGGCCTGAAGAGGGATCATGTGAGCGTGACATGACATCTAAAGAGTCGTTGATTTTTCTTTGTTTGTTTAAATTGGTAAGCCAACCATGAGCTTGCTGACCCAATCTGTCAAGAGGCTGCACATTGACAGAACCAAAGGCAGGTAGAGTTAACCTTTCTCTTTCTTTATCACACTCCTTTTGCTCACACACCCCTTTCACCCTCTTCCTGCCTACCAGGCACAGAGGAATGACACGCTGTGTTTACAGTTGGTCTCCTTTTCACAGAAGGGATCTGACATTAGACGAGGCTGCAGGTGGCTTCCACGCCTATCGTACAATATCCTAAAAATCTCCTGACATAAAGCACAGAAAGACTGACCGTTACAAACCGTAACCTCACCAACTCGCTGGGCAGACGGAGGGGCGAAAAGCAACCCATTTTGTGGTCACCCACTTGATGCCAAACTAAGCCCATTTCTGTTGGCGATGACAAGGGGAGCCGAGCCCACGTTCCATCTCTCTGTTCAGATTATTGTGACTCGCTATCATAAAGTCCTCAACGCTACTTTTACAGCTTTGATTTGATTTACTGTTAAGTGCCTTCTGCAATTTTGATTTCAGTGAGCTGCCTCGAGCATGCTAATGGAAGGAAGATTTTATGCCGCGGTGCAGGTAGACTTTGCGTGTACAAAATAAATACCTCTTTTTCTGGAGGGGAGAAGACATAAAGACATAAATTCTGGAACCAGAAAGCACAAATTATGTGCATTCACACAGATGCACAATAACCTAAGGAAAATACAGGCAAGAGGAATGGAGTGTTAGAAACCATGGGAGTGGGAAACGGAAGAGTAGAGAGTCAAGTGGCTCCATGGAGTTTATAATCCCAAGAAAAGAGGACCACATCCTACAATTGATATGTAAACACCAGTCCACAAGGTTCACACTTCAACATATTTCCTCTACCAGAGAGAAGCTGGGATACTTCATTTGCTAGAAAGTTGAAACTGTTTTGAGGTTCTTTCAACAACTCCAGCAAACCCAACAAATTCTTTACTGTGTCAAAATTTTGCACACAATCGGACAACACTGTTGGGGGTGCAAAGATCTGGTATCCATACACACAGTCAACATGCACCCCTTGAGCCACCTCCCTTAATTACAAAAGCAGGCAGCAAGAAAGGCTACACCCTGCTTATTCTTCTCACTACCTCTGGTGTCAAGATTACAGGACATTCATTGACTCAATGAGAACACTGGCATCACTAAGGGGAACGCTTTGGAGGAGACTGCTTATTGGAAAATAATACATACGTATATTTTAAAAAAGGAACAGATGACACAGACCGCCTGAAAAAGAGAGGAATTAATTTGCTTGAGAAGCTAAAATGCCTAAGCCAAAGAGGGTGAAGGCCAGAGAGGAGTCTGGGAGGCTCAGAGCCAAGGAAAGAAGTTGGAAAATGAGCCGAGGGGAATTGTTAAGAGGAGAGAAAGGAACAAGGAGCCCCAGAGCATGATGTGTGAAAGAGTATTCCCTGCCAAGAAGAACCAGAAATGTATATATATCCAAAGCACGCCCCAGGTGAACACGAGATGTCAAAGACAGGAGGCAAAGTCAGGGATGGGAAAAAAGAGGCCCTCCACACATTGCTGGATTACAATTCCCATTGACCTTTGCTAAGGGTGAGGAAGGCTGGGAGTACCAATCAAAAATCACGTGAACTGTACCTAAGAAAGAAATGTCCACAGAGCCCCCAGCCCCCCCATCCAACATGCTGATTTATGAGATTCTGGAAATCATGGTTTAACACGTGTGGATGGCAACAGTCCAGATTAGGCTGATGCTGATTAACAAGAAAGTAAAACACAAGAGACAACACCATGACAAAAATGCGTAAAAATTCTAGGCATTCATGGTTACTTCTTAATTATTTCATTCCATTTCAGTTTTCTTGATTTTGCTCCACTAACTACACACAAAGGGAGATATACATTATGCAAGATCCAGCTGACTCTGTGACTGAAATCTTGGTGTTACCTAGTAAGCCACCCTAGAGCCAGTCCATTGAAATCTGTAAGGATTTTGTGAGTTTGACTCAAAGGAATTTAGGAAGGAGCTGACTCACACCAAATCCCCAGATTAGACAGATCTACTCTAGTGGAGGTTGCTGGATGCTACAGGATTTCAGCCACAATATACAAGTGCATTTCTGGCTTTCTTCCGCCCATTTCACTTAAGAGAAACCCCTACGCTCCATACCTCCTTCCACATTGCCGGCGGCCAGCCCGTCTGTGTTGTCTGACGTCATCAAGAGCTCCACAATCTTCCTGCTCAGCAGAGACTGTGAGAAGAACAGAACAATCAGTATAGCAGGATTTGACCCTGATGTATATAGGGAAGAGGAAATGCCAGGTCTGGGGGTTTTGATGGAGGGAAGAGAACAGGACTGCAGATGGCAACTGGAAATATCACAGAAGGAAACCTCCGTTGACTTGAAGATATTTCTACCTAGCCTGGCCAATCTACAGACCTCATACTGTCTGCCTACTGGTAGGACTGATGCTACATGTGTCAATTGCAAATGGCTTCTTGCTTGGGCAGATCATCACTACAGCCAAAATTCAAGAGTTTATGAGTTCATATTTGTTTTTCATTAAAAAAAACACTCTTTCTTTGGGCTGTGTGCCTCCCTACTAGCAAGGTCACATGAAATGGGGCTCTTCAATACCTGTTAACAAATGCTCTTGTTAAGGCACACGGTGTAGCTGTGAGCAAACGTGGTTGATAACAGCCAAGGAGGTGTTAAAAATCAGGAGTGTTGCATTAATATTGTTGCAGGGTGTGAAAGTGGAAGACTGAAAAACATCCTCGGTTTGCAGGGTGATGCAAGAAAAACGAAAATAGAAACAGCCGAGGGAGGCCCAGGTGTCTCTGTGAGCGCAACATCATCTTATGCAGCTTCTTTGAATATTTGCTCAAGTGTCTCATGCAAGATGGATACTGGAGCAAGGAAAACTGAGGCGGAGAGATCCCGAGATCATATTTATCTGCATTGTGTTGTGTGAAATGTGTCCTACAGATTCAGATCAACACTCTTTCCCCCATTGTTTGGAACCCGCCTGGAGTGGTCGAAATGACTAGATAGGCGGGGTATAAATACAGTAAATAAATAAAATAAATAAATAAGCTTATCTCTTGAGCCCGTTTCAGACAGCCTAGCTCCCTGGTAGGGAACCTGCTTTCATCCAAGGGCCAGCTTTGATTTCAGAGAAGTTTTCAAGGCCTACCTTTTAGTTGGAACCAAAAACATATTTAGTCCCACCCACCGCTAAGCATTAAGACTTGCATTATTTCAGGTTAAGAATTCTTAATGATAGGTAGGACCCAATATGTTCTTCGTGCTTAACTGTGCCTTAGAAAAAACCTTTTGAAACAGGGAACAAAATTCATACAAAAGTTAGGAGACCATCCAATCATGGAGCAAGGCCTTCTGGGCCATCCACAGAATGCCAGACTGTAAACTTGGGATCCCTGGAGTCTAAAGTTCATTTCGCTCCAATAGAACAGACTGACTAATATGGCTGCCAGAGGGTTTCTCTCCATTCCACTCTGAAAAGACTTTCAGTGGGAAATCGGAATGCGCATTTCAGACTAGATGTTCACCAACCAGCTCCTCAGCCTTCAACGATGAAACTATGAACGTTCGCCCAGCCGCAGGCAGCAGGTCAGTCTCCAGTGCTGCAGTGCAGAAGCCACCCCACGTGGCCCCTTCCCATCTCCAGCAATGAAAAAAGCAATAACCTTCTGCAGCTGAAGAGTACACACCCTTCTTCTCAAGGCTGAATGGAAAAAGATGACAAGGTGACATTATTCTTCCCAGAAGGATTAGGACCTCATCATGCAACTTCCTTGAGGAAGGTCTGCAGACTGTCTCAGTGCAAGGCAGAAGGTGCTTTCGACCGGATTGAATCCTACTGATTTGCCAGTAGCTTTTTAGAGAAGGATGCCTACCTGGGGGGCACTTGGTTGGAAAAGATGGGTGGAAGCCAAGTGCAAGAGGATTCTCAACAAGCGACACTTTCAGATAGGTCTGCGCACTTATTCATTCCGGACACGTGGATTCCAGCTTTCCTCAATGAGCCCAATGTTGCATATATAACTTTCCCCCTTTCTCATGTTACCTTCCCAAGAACCCTGCAAGATAGATCTAGCGGAGAGAGAGAGTGGCCTGCCCAAAGATGCTCAGTGGTGTGTTTTGTGGCTCACTGACAACTAGAACATGGATCTTCCCCCCAGTCCTAACTTTTCCCTCCAGCCACTAGGCTACACAGGCCCTTAAAGCAATCATTCTCTCCCCACCACCAACACCACCACCTTAGGGCAGCGTGCAGTGCAAGATCTCCAACATCCCTCTTCTGCCACTGCCCTGGACTTGAACCCAACCAAGAGAACTAAAAAAGGGTGCAGCTTAGAAAGGATTTGCCAAGCTAAAAACAGCCACTTCTCTGAAGGCCTGCCAACTCTGGTTGCCCAGATGGACAGGCACGGCCGGCCGTAGGGAGAGAGCTGCTGGACGAGGCAACAGAGGAAGGCATTAGTAAAATTAGCCTGTCTCCGGCTGAGCTTCAGATTACAGCGGTTTACAAGGCAGCCAGGGTCTGGTCTCTACAGTAATCTCTTGCAGGGAGGCTCTTACGCCCAACGCCCTTTTCATTGTTTGTGCCCTGTCTGTTTCAGAAGTGGAGCAAAGGATCTAACTGAGCATAAAACTTCTTCTCTGAAAGCAAGGGTGTCTCCACCTCGCTCTTTTGGGTCACTCAACAGACTCCTTGGATCTCTTAACAGCTCAAAAGAGAAACCTGCAGCGAGATGAAATATTTTGGGGCAGGAGATAAGGTACCTCCCTTTCTCAGCCCAACTGTCCTACTGGGTTGACTACGGGCTGGGTAGAGAGGGCGTTTCACCAGGGATTTGCAGGAAGTAGCCATGCTTTTGCTAGGACAGCAGGCCCATCTCAGCGACGTTGCTTTTAAAGGGATGTTAGTGAGCTTTCTCAAACGGGCAGAAAAGCACATAAACTTTGGAAATGAAATGCTTGAAATGCAATTTGAACAAAAACCCTCTTGACTACAAAAACATGGTTTGATTAATTTAGCAGAATGCTGTTTCTAAATTATATTACTCGGAATAAGACTACTTATGTTAGAACTCTAGATGGAAGCCTGCATTTTAAAAGAAGCATCCCTCGGCTCTCACTCACAGAAGGAAATGTGCCTTCCAAGACGGTACCTCCCCTCAAGACATGTATGTGATGAAGAAAAGATGCTTTTGTGGCTTTGGGAGTGAACTGCTTATTTCCCTGTAAGGCGAATTTCTGCCTGCTTAAGGAACCAGCCCTAAAAACGTCCGTGGGGCTCGCTTTCCAGAAGACAGGTAGAAGGTGGCACCGCTAAATGAATCAATAGAGTAGCTAGAACTTGTGTAATTAATATTAAAAATTTACACAGGCGTGCAGCCAACGATGATGACGAAAACAGCAAAGAGAGACTAACAAAAATGGTAGGAATAAGAACAACAGATGCACAAGGGTTTTTTTTGGCAATAGAGCAGCTGTTTATCAGTGGGAAGTCCACGACATGTTTAAAGACGTTCCTTTTGAAATTACTTTGCATGTTCCAAGGCTTAATCCTGGAGCTGCAAATAGGTTCTGGGGAGAACCTCTCTGACCAGGCTTCCAATAGCAAAGAGCTCAACCCATTCAGTACGGATTGGGCAAGACAGGTAGCATCTATGCTAAGGCTGTAGTGAACGGGAATGAGAAAACTGCTGAAGGATCAGTCTAAAAACCTCTTTAGTCCATCACCCTGTTTCTCACAGCTGGCAACCAAACACGCATGGATGACACCACGGAAATAGACCTTGCCCATATCATTATTTGATCCCTTTTAGTTATTTGTATATTCACCGTTTTTAGCTTTAAATACTGTCTTTTCAGGATGTAAGCCGCCCCGGGTCCTTCTTAAGGAGAACGGCAGGGTAAAAAATACCTTACATTTTTTTTAAGAGCTCTTTCCTTGAAGGTTTTGAAACAGAGACTAGGCAGCTGTGTGTTGGAGATGTGCTAGCTTTCGCTTCCCTGCATTGGTAGCGTTTTGGATGAGATGCTCCTTGAGGTCCCATTCAGTGGCATGATTCTGTGCAACTTGGCGATGAGGTGGCTTCTCATCCCAGTGGCAGGACGGATCCAGCGTTCATACTAATGGCCTTGTCCTCTAGACCAGCGCCCAAAGGAAAGAGTAGACTCAGAAACACGAGAAATCGCTTTTTTTAAAAGAAGGAGCAGTGAGAAGCATTACCATTTTTATATACGTCATGTAACTTGGGTCTTCCGCGTAGGAGCCATATTCATTCTCCACTTGCACAGCAATGATGGGGCCTCCGTATTTGTACTAGAAGGGCGGAGGAGAGAAAAAAATAAAATAAAAAAAGCAATTCCATAATAAGCTAAAGATTTGTGGCGGTGTTTTTCTGACCTGTATTTTTTTTTTTTGTTTAACAAAACAAGCAAGCCAGCAAGCCCGCCTAGCACGTGGCAAATGGCTGAAACTTGAGGAGATCGTTCGTTATTGTCCAGGGGACAATGAAGTACTGGGGCCACATACAGCAACCCCTTCCAGGCTGTTTTGGGGCCTGCCGGGGCAAGAGAATTGGACCCTTGGCTTGCAAAATTTGTCCACGCTTCATGTAGCAGAAGGCCTCCGTTGCTGGTCCAGTTTTGTGCAGAATCTGCAACAAAACTGTGATTCTGGAGGATTGCAGTGGAGATCGTGGTTCAAAGAGGCTGAAATAGATGCCACGGGGCCAAGGGCAAAACCCTTCCCAGCCATCTGCTAGAAGAACGGAGAGGACAAGAGCCATCTCTTTCCTCCTGCCCCCTCCCAAATGCTTCTCTAACAGAGTGGGAAGGCTCAAGGCCAGTTTTTAGCGGGGAAGAGTGCTCTTTCAGAAAGTGGAAATGTCACTTATTTGGCTGTACAAAACCATTCCAGCAAGAACTTGTCATAGCCGAACAAACACCCCCCTCTTGCGCCAGGCATCCTTAACATGGGTGTCTCAAAATTCAGCCAACTGAGCAGAAAGGAACAGGGCGACTCGCTCTCTCGTTTACCTGAAGATGGACTACTTCAGGCATCAAGTGGTCAAAGTAGTTATCCACCGCCTCTGTGAAGCCCTTGTAGGTTGTCCTCAGCTGCATTTCAGGGTCCTGGAGTAACCAACTAAGGAAGGACAGGAAAGCGGGAAAGTTTGTAAGAATACGAAAAGAACTCAGCTGGACTGAGTCCTGTCTAGCCCACGATCTGGTTTCCCAAAGCAGCTAACTGCAAGCCGATGGGAATCAGAAGGTAAACCCAACTTTGCCCTTCGACTAGTGTTTCTTCCACATTTTTATAGGTACAAGGCCACGGACCCTGAAGATGGCATACAGTTATTTGACTGGTAGACTATGACGTCCCTATCTTCCATGCATCTATCAAGTCTTGACAAAGATGCTCACATTAGTGACCACGGCATCTTGGAAAACATCTTTGTTTAAATAAATGCTGTACAAAGAAGCTGTTCCTTTTAGTCTAACATGCTGGGTTCGATATGCCCTGAATCTTCCATGTTTCAACTCCAATGGATATTCCCACTATCTTTTGTTCTGAGAGAGATGACACTTTTTTTAAATTTGTTTTCTCTGCCGAGAGAAAGACCTCCAATCTTACTCCATCTTTTCCTACATGGAACAGTGTCAAACACTATAACCCTCCATCACGATTATCCTTCACCAGTTTTGCAAGATGCTTCAAACTGTGGTGACAATCATGCATATATCCCATTATACCAAGAACAGCTCTACTGCAGATTTGTACAAAGACATTACAGTACTGACGGTTTTCTTCTGAATGAGCCCTGGTGCAGACAGTGCTTTCCTATAATCTTTTAAGAATCTTAGAACTGAAGAGCTGAAGGGGCCCTATGGATCCCTGAGTCCACTGAGTTAAGGAGGCACTGTGGAGAATCGAACTCCCAACCTCTGGCTCCACAGCCGGAGACATAAACCCACTGAGCTATTCTAGTTACCACTGATTATGCTACTCTCCACTATGACACTGGCTCTTCTTCTTGGATATTTACCTCTATCAGGGAGACAAGATAAAGGTTCCCCTTGACATTTAGTCCAGTCATGTCCGACTCTACGGGGCGGTGCTCATCCCTGTTTCCAACCCACAGAGCTAGTGTTTATCCAAAGACAATTCTCCATGGTCATGTGGCCAGCGCGACTAGACACGGAACGCCGTGACCTTCCCACCGAGGTGGTCCCTATTTATCTACTCGCATTTTTACATGCTTTCGAACTGCTATGTTGGCAGAAGCTGGGACAAGTGATGGGAGCTCCCTCCGTTGTGTGGATTTGATCTTATGACGGCTGGTCTTCTGACCCTGCAGCACAGAGGCTTCTGTGGTTTAACCCGCAGTGCCACCACATCCCTATCAGGGAGATAAGGACCTAAAAAATAAACAGGTACTTCTGTGCAGGTCTGATGCAGTTTAAACTGCTTTGCATATGTCATAATAATCTCTGTGATGTCATGCCTCCCAGGTTATTGTGCTTATTCCCATGGTTTAGCTGGGATTTGAACCGGTTTCCTGAGTCACAGCCCATCACTCAATCCACTAGACGACTGCAGCTCTTTCTACAGTAATGGCCACCATTTACTCTACAATCACCACAATCCCAGTCACCAGCACCATCACCATGATGATGTTTTAAAAGACTGGAATGAAAAAGGGTAGCTTCCCACTCCTTCTAAAAGTAACAAGAGGGAAAACAGATTGCAGGTCTGAGCGGAGTGCCTTGTACAGTTTGGGAGCAATACAGAAGATGCCACCCCCCCCAAGCCTGCACTGCATGCCAGTCAAGCGAGCGTTTGTGGCTGACGGTATCTTCAGGAGGGGCCCTTCTTGCAGAGCAAAAAATTAAGGTGGGTTTGCACGCAGACAAGCAGCCCCATAAGTAGCCAAGCCCCAAGCTGCTTAGGGCTTGCAAAGTTAAAATAACTTTTCAGCTGGTCTTGGAAAGCAACTGGAAACCCGCTTTCACAAAATCTGTAAGCTGCTGCAGGCTGTACAAAGTGGGGTATAAATATTTAAATAAGTAAAATACGCAGCGATTTTAAAGGTGACAAAATCTGCCAAAGTCAGGTTAGTGCAAAGGAGGAGCTAAAAGTGGAAACGGTTAATGGAGAAACAGGAGCAAGGTTTCTCTACTGAGGCTAAATCTCAAGGGGAAAAGACAAGCCGAGGCCATACATAAGGAGGCTACATGTGTGATGATGATGGTACTCTAGAGATCTGGTAACCAAGAGAGTCTTTCAGTGTTGACACTGCACTCTTCAAGCTTACTGCTCTAAGCCATGTTGAGTCAACATGAAGTGGAAGGATAGGAGATAAGGCTCTACCCATCTGCCTCAACAGACCATTCACAAGAGAGAAACCAAAAGACACCAAGATTCAAAGTGACTCAAGAAAACAACGAAATTAGGGATCTATCGATTTGGACAAGGAGGGAGATGGATGCACTTGGTTGGCAAATCCAAAGGATAAAGGCAGCCACGGGTTGTCCCTTGCTTAGTTCCATGACCTAACTTGCAATGGGTGCAGCCATTGCAATATTTCTATCCTGAGAGAATCATGGCACTGGAAGAGGCCTGTAAGGCCATCGGGTCCAACCTCCTGCTCAAGGCTCGATGCTTTTTGCATGGGAAGTAACATGTAAGTGGCATTTAGAGAATCACAATTCAGAAGAGCACACTCCCAGGACACACGCATTCCGTAAGAACAACAACAAAAAAAAAACCCAAGAGCAATATCCACATGGTGACATCCAAGCACACTTTCTTAGATTAAACTGCCTTCCCTCTAGCAATGTTACAATGGGCAAAGAGCTTCTCAAGCAGCCACCTGCCCTAAACAAGGTGGCTAGACTACAACCTTGACCCTCCTTGGTCAGCAGGGCAAATGATAACGATGTGAACTATTATCCCATGGCATCAGGAGGGGGCCAGGTTGAGAAAGGCTTCCTCAACGGATCCAACGTGTAGAGCTGCTCTTTCATGAATGCCTACGCTGCAGAGCATCTGGGAAGATGCTGATGCCGGGGATAAATTCCTTGAAAGCTGTCTGCTTTCATTTCCATAGAAGTATTTAGGCTTGCTGGTAGCCAGGAGAGGTTCAAAACTGGGGGCGGTGTTTTGTTGCAAAAGACCACAACATAATGAGGCTCTCTTTTTTTGCACATTTGTGCTCTTGGCTACCTGTGGACGAATCCAGGCTCTGCTAATGCAAAGTGTGAGCAAGCATGCCTTGTTTATGCTCCCGCATCTTCTGGAGGCCTATAATCATTCCCGCTGGACCTTTATTGATGGCTTTCCTACAGAATGGTGGAGGCAGTGGGGATAAATAATTGCTTTTGTCTGAATAACTGGAAAGAGCAGGGGCCACGGACAAATGTTCCTTTCAGTCCTGGCGACAAAAGGAAACATTCTGACATTAGCATAAGCTTGTTCGTCGTGAACCCATCTCTCCTAACGCTTCGCTCGCGGCTACTTAGATCTCGCTGACTCTTCTTATGCTGCTCCTCCTGCTGTCACCCTCCCCCCCCCTTCCCAGTTCATCGGGCGATGTCCGTCTTTTACTTTTAAGTCCTGAAAGTGTGCGCTGGAGAGGAGCTTAAAAGAACGCAGGCCTTTCGAAGCTTCATGTTTTATAACAATCCCAAGGTGAGCCATCGCTTTTATCAGGCAATTAAAGATCACAAAACATAAGCTAGTTTTTTGATCCTGCACAGGTCTTCTTCGGCCTGGGCACCACGCGGGAGGAGGCCGCGCAAAACAAAGGCAAAAATTCAAAAAATCAGATGCTTTTCGGTGCCACCCCTGGCTCTGCGGTGCCTAATGAAGACCTCCTATGGGACAGAAAGCTAGCTTGTGTTTCTGATTTTTTTCTTCTTCAAAGTGGTCTAATTAGGTTATCATTCACCCTTGCCTCCTCTCACTGTGTACAAGGACCATGCGGCTCTTGGGGCTTTTGTAACCGTTCAATTGGGCACTGTGATGTGGATAAAGACGGGGTGTGGATAGTTCTCAAACAGAGATGCCTGCAAGGCAGCTGGCCAGGGCTGGCTTGACTGAGTCCTACCCAGGCGGAGCTGCTGCGGAGAATAAATAAAGGAAGTCGTTTTTCTCACTTGGGGCTGGCGGTGCCAGAGTCCAGTCCTTGGAAACAAAGGTCGTTTGTTGAGCTGGCTGCGGAGGAACCTTTTTTTTATTATTTATGCACTGCATCTCGACAGAGCTTTGCAAATTACTTTCGTGGACTACGAAGCCCAACATCCCCCAGTCAGCATAATAGCTTCAAGCCATTTATACTGAAAAATATATGGACCACAAAGACATAACACAAGTTTAAAAATGATGCATAGAATTGGGAACACATGAAATCACAACAACAACACGCATAAAATCAGAGCTGTTGCCATCTGCTCTGGGGAAGGCCTTTTTGTAAACGGATACGTTTTCAGCAAACGTTCAAAGCCGAACATGGATCATTAAAGCAGAACTGCAGGGGAAGGGATGGGAAAAACAAGGACCGTGGGCCCCCCTTCTCAAGAAGACTCAGCATCCTTGCCATCCTAGCCTCTTTCTCCAGAAAAAAAAAACCATTCTCAAGTTTCCATGGGGAAAGGAGGGTATCTATTAAAGATGCTCTAAGTCTCTTGTATCAAATATCAAGTCATTTTTAAAATGACTAGCCATTGATGGGGAAAAAAATGGAAAACGAAAACAACATCTTGCCAGGGACTCTACAGGAAGGACACATGGGATGTGTATAATTTCAGCAAAGCAGCACGCCTGTTAAAAAAAGAGGTTTCCCAGTCATCTAATTGTAAGAAATGAGTGTTTTGGAGACAGTGCTTGGAAGCCTTTCTAGAAACAGACTGGCGGAACATCCACTCTTAACCTCTGAGGATTATTGTTGAAAGAGGTGGCCTCCCTGCATCCTTTGGCTGAGCATCGCTGCATCCCACATCCTCGTGAGATGCAACCCTCTTGGCATCTCCAGTCCATCTGCACCTGGTCACTGTAGACAGGATAGTAACAACTAACCTGCAACAAGTGCAATTTAAAGAGGCAACCAAGTCTCACGCAGCCTTACCTGGGCAACCCACCGAGGTCCCATTCGGAGCAGATATAAGGTCCTGGGCGGAGGATCACCCACAGCCCAACTTCTTCTGCCATCCTAAGGAAAGCCCTAAAAGAATGAGAGGGAGAGAGAGAGAAACTCTTAGGCAGCAAAGCAGTTATAACTGCAGGGAATCTGAAGGACCGGCAGGGAAAACTAGAAGGAACAGCTGGTATTGAATGTTCTGCCTGGCACTTGCTGATCTACATTGATGCCACAAATGCCAGCAAGAAAAGCATGAACAATGGAGAATGAACTAGACCAGCATTGCTAGTGGTCTAGAGAAGGTTATTTGGCTGGTTCTAGATGAGAACCTTAGTCTTCACTTCTTCAGCATCTAACTTGGTGCATCTCTCCTGTCTTGGTATTCTCCTTCTAATTTTTTTCCTTCCTCTTCCCCTTATCCCCTTTTCCTTGATTTTTTCTTTCAAGTCATCTCTGTGGCTGTTAGCCTATGGCTTATAAATTTCTAAATTCCCCCTTTCACTTTGCACCTCTTCATTGGCCAGCACTTCTGTGACATCAGAGCATGATAGCCAACTGGCACGAATTAGTTTCTTAAATATAGGGCGTTCTCACAGAATGCAATCGTCTGCTCCATAGGACCAGTATTCTGTCTCCAGAAGAGAGCAAGTACTGTAGATGCTTTGAGACCTTACATGAAAGATGCAATGCTTTTCCATAGTATATTAGCTTGGAAAGGAAATAACTAAGGGTCAGATTAAGGGAAATCGACATTCCCTGAGATTCACGTTTTCTTTCCTGAGACTGACTTTCCTCAGAGATATGTGCCTCAACAAACAGGCGTGCAAATTAAGCTGGGCAAAGTTCAAACTGGTGGAAAGTGGAAGTGACCCACAAGGACTCAAATATTCCATTTGACGTGTCCTGTGATGCCTCCCACGTCAACATCCCAAGATAGTGAACACAGAGTAGATGGACCTTTTAGTCTGACTAACGAAAGGCAGGACACTGAGCTGAAAAGAGCCTCGACTCAACACAAAGACGACCGGGCACTACACAAATGGTATCAGCAACTGTTACTGCCATGTGTCAAGTCCACTTTAACTTCAACACAAAGACGACCGGGCACTACACAAACGGTATGAGCAATGTGTCAAGTCCGCTTTAACTATCCTTGTTTATCCAGGGCAAAGTCCCTTACAGATTAAGCTGGCAGCTTCCAAACAAGTTTTATTTACAAATGGGAGTGAAGGAGGAAGGAAACGTTCTGTACAACACTAGCAAGAGAATTCCACGACAGAGATCCACCCATTAATTAACCTGTCTATAAAATTTAGAGGAAAGGATCAAATTATCCAAAATCAGCATATTTACCAAAAAAAAAAATAATTTTAGGGTTATAGGATTCGGAATTTTATGGGGTCCCCCGCCAAATAATGGGATAGTATTAGATCTTCTTATACATACTGTAGATCCAGGTTCCCGCTGAAGTCAAAGTTTCCTCTTGCGGCCTCGTGAAGATTCCAGGGGACATAGCTGGAATGCAGAACAAACTTGTTGAATGTTCAAATGCCAGTTTTGGAGTGTAAGATGGCAAAGCAATAAAACGACAAACCATTCTCAAACTTGCCCTTGTGTGTCTTTTAAGACCTACATATGGCCAACTCCCCAACCTGACTGAACCAACAAAGCAATATGATCTAGCCTCTGGAGGCCTAACAAAGATTAATCCATGTTTTCCAGCCAATGCATTTAAATCAAAAACAAAAACCATGTCAAATTGTGAGAATCAGATATACAGGACATATTTTTAAGATCGTATATCCCCTTGACTTTTGCATGTTAACATCCACTTGGTATGTAAATCTGTATATTTGTCTGTGATGTCCATGTGAATGCCTGCCACAATCTGAGAACGTATCAAACCATGATTTCTCGGCCCCATTGATACACATGGCCTCTACGAGCAGGGATGGGCACATCTATCCTCCCTCTTGTCCATGCTACAAGTTTTTAACTAGAACACTATTTTGCTTCTGCATTAATCAGAATTTATTTTTTTAAAAACTTTATTTTTTAAAAAATGTGTATTTTAAATGGTACTGAAATTTTCATTTTTACTAAAAATGATTTAAATAGGTATTTTGAAAAGTTGAGGCTTCTGTGAAGAGTATCACAACTTTAGGAGAATGATCGATAGCTCCAGTCCAATCAACACACCAGTTAGGCAGGCATTTCTGTACCAGAATTTCGAGAGAGGGAATTGATCGAGCCTCTTATACTGATGCCGACCTGCCTCTCTGCCTGACCGGCTGTGACCGGTTAGACCCTGAAAACCTGTTGACTGACTGCTCATTTCTACATTCGAGCAATTATTGCAGCGCAGAAGGCTGAAGCTAAGGAGAGACCATAGGGTTTGCAGGAAAGCAGTCCAGGCAGAGGGGGAAAAAAAAACATTCACTCTATGAAATTCTAGAGAGTCCCAAGGCAGATGGATCGATCGCAGCATTGGAAGTTATTTCGGCCAACTTGGCAGCTACAGCAGGGTAAAGATGACTAAAAAGGGAACGAAGGCTTACGTGGTGAGGGTGTTCAAGCCGCAGGCCTTCATCTTCATCAAGCGGTCTTTCCAGTATTCTCGGGGCACCCGAAAATAGTGCACCGAGCCACCAAAGATGCGGAACGGCTTCTCCTCCAGGAGGAACTCGGAGTCCCTAACCTGCAAGCCGAGCACCCGGCCCCTCAACCGCATGGGGATCAGATCGGTCAAGTTCATCCTAGGGGAGAAAGAGAAGATGAAGAGCAGGCAAGCCAAAGGGAACACATGCTGATCCGAAAGCAGCCGCCACGTTTAACCAAAGCAAGGAAAAGTTCCTCTCTGAACGGTAACTCCCCCAAATTAGATTCTGGGAGTTGCAGAAAAGGAAGTCGTCCAAGCTCCGATTTTAACCATCCCTTCAGGCCAGTTTAGCTCCCTGGATGTCATGAATCATTGAACAAAAAAGCAAGGGAGCTTAGCGTGTAAGGTGTTAATTCTATTCTAAGGTGTTAATTCTATGCACACACAGGTCTAGTTCTTGCTGATGCGGTTAGGCTCTGCCTGGGATATGTCATTTCAAACTCACACGGTTGCTCTTCTGTGCAAGAAAATAAGAAGAAAAAGGAAAAATAAAACATCTTCATAGAAGATTAGCACATTGGGGGGGAGGAACAAGAAGAAAATTTCACTTCTGTGCCCAAGACCTATTATGTACAGCTTTAAAAGTACGAGTCCAAAGAGTGCACAGCTTGTGACCCACCAGGTGATGTTTTGTTCGGCTTTCTAGTCCTACTTTCCGCCAAAAATCTAGGGCAGCTTACACTGTGGGCCAGTTGGTCGCTTTCAAGACTGCAATAAAGCACAACAGCCGAGATCGTGCAAGCTTGATATGCAGGATATGACTTGGAGAGGAAACTAAGTCAAGGATGGACAAAGCTTTTACTCTTTAAAATGAATTTGCTGATGACTAATTAACTTTGCATTCTTGCTCACCTGCCCTCCTTCACATCCTTTAATTTGTCTTTCCCTAATTTCACCCATCAACTTGCTGCCTGGTCTTCCGGCCATCCAAATTCCTTGCCCTTCCTCTCCTCCTTCTAAATCTTTTGTTCAAAGCAGCAGGTTCCTCTCTGCTCTGTACCTATTATCTGGGCTTCCAAGGACGCTCACCTGCAATCAACCTCTTACTATTCTCCTATTCCACCTACAATAGTTCTGAAAGAAATAAAGGAAAGAAAAGCTCACAGCTGAAGGCCTCCTACCGATACTCCAACAACATTAAGAAATGTCACTGGTAGTCTGCAGAAGATGATGCTGGCTATCAAAATGGCAGTAGATCTCCTTAGGCACGTTAATAGGATCACTGTTTTGAGACCCTCTGATAGGGGTCGGACTGGATGACCCAGAGGGTCCCTTCCAGCTGTGCAGATTGTTTGGGCTCTCACACGGCAGGACTTAAAAGCCACATAAGCACAACGAAAGCAAGCTATCTGGTGCAGGGTAAGGCCAAGAAACAAGGCGTAAAGACAACTTAGGATAAAGGGGAAGCAGTGTGTCACTAACAAAAAAGACGCTTGAAAAGGGTAGAATAGCCATTTAAGGGGTTTGTGGAAGAAGTGTTGGGGAGATGGATTCTCAGCAACAAAACCGCACAAAGGAAACTAAACTGAACATTGAGAAGGGTTGCCTAGAAGAGCATGGGTAGTACCTCTGTAACCCATCATCCCCACAGGCCTCTGAAACCACAGGCAGGCAGGAGTAATACCTGGAAAAGGAAGCCAGGATTAAATACGACACGTCGGGGGGCCCGGGGGACTGAACCCAAAAAGATCCAGAGCAGTTTTCACATTCTCTTCTCACTCAACCTCTTGCCCATTCAGACATCCGACAGTCTTGGGCAGCGGTCGTTTCGCCCGCTCAGAAGACGGCTTCGGCCCAGGGCTACCTTTCGGGATCTGATGGGGCTTCAAATATGGCAAGCGTGATAATAACGCGGAAAACAACGAACAACTCACAGGAGCCAACGTCTGATACAACAGCCCACGAGGGATACAGCTTCGCAGAAGAGTAAGAGAGGACTGGCTTGTCACCAATCAAAGGGCTTTCATGAACAGACAGACATGAATAACTAAAGGGGGGAAAAATCCCACTTACAAGCATCAAGGTCAACACAACTTAGCCTTAGCCTGATGTAGGTAGGGATTTACAGCTCCGGCATTCTATCCTTCCCTCCTCATTACTTTTTATGATAGACAAGGAATAGCTATATTATGTGCAGTGATTATGAAAAGCCGTTAAATCATATTGCGCTAGACTCCCTCCCTCTGACACCTAATGGGGAACATTCTTCCATGACAAGACCCGGCTTTAGTATGGAGATACACCCCCTTCCCCGCTTATCTTGTGCTGTTTCAGCTTCACCAGAACTTGCTAAGTCTGCCTTAATGGAAGCGCTCGCATATCCCCTCCCTAAATCTTCAAGCTTCAAGGTTTCCCACTGGTAATTACCACTCTCTAAACGCAACAAAAATTCTAATGAAGCACATTTGAATGAAATAGACCCAAGGAAAACCACTGGCCCTGCTGAACCATACAATGACGATGCTTAAGGCTGCAAACTTGTGCCCTTTTCTCGGGCAGGTAAGTTCAACCAAATACAGCAGAGTTAATTAATTCATTAATTTCATTGGTACGTATGCCGCTTTTCTCCCAATTAAGGGACCCAATTTGCTTCTGAAGAGGCATTCGAGGGCCACGTTGCACATGTGGCTGTAGCATTGAAGCTTCCAGCACCGGCGGAAAATAAAACAGTTCCATATATCCAAAATAGTATTTATTACATTGATATTTTGCCCCTCCATTAACCAACTTATGATGACTTACATGGTTTTCTTCAAAACAGTATCCAAGAAAGGTTAGGGCAGAAGAGACTGACTGCCTTCAGTTCATCCAGATGTGCTTCTTGGCAGAGGGACGGTTCAAATCCAGGGCTCTCCAGTCTTACTCTGAGATTCTAACAGCTACACTACATATAGTTCCCAGACACTCTCTCCATAATACAGGTGGCAGAAATGAATTGCTTTTCTGCCCACTGAAGCTTCCAAATCTTTGACTTACAGCAACTCTATGAATGAAAGACCTCCAAATGCATCATGATGCACGGTGCAAATCAATTGATATTGTTCATCAGAATTATTTAAAGAAAAACAAAACATGCTAAATGTATTAGCAACAAACTTTAAGTGTGGTCATACATATTACACAACCTTGGCTAATGTTCTACTGCACTTGTTGCTTCTCACAAGCACTAATCAAGTTTTACTTAAGCTCTAGCAAATACCAGCCAGACATAAATTGCACTAAGAGGCCTTAGAGAACACATTCCCCCACTAACCTCAAGGCTCTGCTTATTACTCAGGTTTAAACAGGCAAACAGAGATAAGAATGGCTGTGACATCTTTCTTTGGAGAAAAATAAACCCAGAAGCAATGGACAAGAGGCTAGTAAAAACCCCAGCAGGTGAAGGAGAGGTAGACCCTGATGGCTCCAGGAACGCATGGAGAGGCTTGCAAATGTCTTATCTAGTCAAGGAGATTCAAATGCATAATGAAATTTATGCTCAAGGATCATCAGCTGGAATGGAAGCCTCTGGCTTAAACTGGATATGCACTTGTATGCACATCTGAAGGGCCAATATAGTCTATTCACAGTATGTTCCCCTGAACAGAATATATATTAAAATAAAGGCACACTGATGTGTCATTTCAATATCCCTACAGATGGTTCAAAAAGCCTAATTTCGTGCTACAGATGTCATAAGAATTTGAAAGCTATTAGCCTTCCAGAAACATGATTCGGTCAGTCCCTTGGGGTACATGCAGATAAGACCTGTGCTTACCTCCTGATGACCAATCAGAAAACAAAGCAAGCCGCTGGGGAAAATATGGGACTTGGAAAAGTTCCTGTTATTGCAACCGGACATTCTCAGCACCTAACAAACTCCCTCTTGCAATGCTAGGACATTTGTAATGTCCACTTTGGCCCTGGGAAGACGGTTTCTAGGACAAATGCAGTTAAGTAGGCAAATCAGCGTGTTTATGGTGCAGCAACATCATCAGCCGCATCACGCCATATGCTAAATTATGTTGCTAGTAGCTGTCTTTCCATTCCCATTCCATCAATTCATAAATTTTTATTTGATCTTGTTAAATCTAAGCCCCCAGGGTCTTCAAGACAAGCCAGCCAATTAAAAAAAACATGAAAGAGGCATGCATATTAATATCTTCACAAGAAATGAGACCAGACATTTAAGGTATAGAAGACTGAGTATGGGGATTAAGGAGTTGCCTTTTTCTATTCGCATCCTTTTTTACTGAGGTAAGCAAATCCCCCTCTGATTTGTCTCTGCAGTTTTCTAGTCCCCGAGAACAAGTTTAGAAAGACCTGCTTAAACTTGGAAGAAAGACCAAATAACTTGTTTTGCAGCTAATCTTTTTTATCTTCAAGGAGATGCGCTTATTATGTCTCCGACTCCCTGAAGCTTTAATTCAGCTGTCCCCAACCTTCAATCCCCAGATGTTCTTCCAGAAGCCTTCACTGCTAGGTGCACTGGCTTGGAATTCTGGGATTTGTAGTGGAAGAACATCTGGGGACCCAAGGCTGGAAACCACTGCATATAATTCATACAAAGTTTATCAAGTTTTGCTTCCACGCTACATTGGCCGTGCCTTGAACAACTACACTTGCTAGCCATTCGTGATACAGGATTCTAGCCAAGCAAGTGAATAGGCTGGTGGAAAAGGTAAAGACCACTTTGATCCCTCTTCTATCCACAGAGCCGCTGGTTAATCTCATTTCCTTGCAACTAACACAGAAAATCAAACATCCTGGCTGAAGACAGACAGATAGACTGCGCGGTCCCTTTCTCCTAGCTTCTCTTTCCTCATTAGCCATGTGAGGGGGTCTTTTTTACTGCCTGTAGCCTGTTAAAAATATAAGTTAGTAACCTTTCTGAGATAACCAACAGGGCTGCACTGCACTGATTTAAGAATGCACATTTCCATATCACACAGAACTATTCATCAGACGTATCAGGGAAAACCAATAATAATAAAAAATAAAGAAGACAAAACATTGTGGCATATTAAAGACTAGGTGCTATGTTTTTAAGGTGAGCTTTCCTGGTTAAGTCCACTTCTTCAGACGTAAGAGTGGGGCTGCATGACATTTATCCATGGCTGCAAATAAGTGATTGCACTTGGGCAAATGGCCTTTAAAACCCGGTTGAATCTTCAGACAGAACATGACACATAAGACATAAGAAATTTATTTGTCATTGCACTCGAAGGAAGTAAGGAAAATGAGCCCCCTCCCCTTCTTGGGAACTGACAGGGGTACATCACACTCCAGTCTGCGCAAACATTTCTTTAAGATAAATCAGGGCCAGTTTGCACCACGAACAGAATCTCCTCTGCTGTGCAGAAAGGAGACGAGAAAAGATCCAATTGTTAGTTGCTGTCATGTCCAGATTGTTTGATTTGAGGCCCGGGAAATACTTTCTGTTTGTCAGCTTGTAAAGCCAGGCTGGAAGATTATAAACACATTGCAAGCCTCTGTTGTACTGGAGCAGGTGAGAAAGATGTCTTTTTTAAAAGTCTCTGCACTGATGCCCGAAGCCGGAGGTTGATAGGTGTTCTCCTGTGTGTAGCCCATGCTGCAAAATGAACTCTTCACAATAAACAGCGTGTGTATTTTTTGGACATTGACTTCACATTACTGCCGCTGCGTGGAAACTTGTAAAATCTTAACTAAGCTGGTGTGCTAGCACTGTGTGCTTTACAGCTTGGGGGGGGCGATATTGTGAAACTATATTAAAAATGAACATAAATTGTGAATTTATAAATACACAAGTCTTTCCCACAACCCACTGGAAAGAATTTGACTCTTTAGGGTCATTAGTAAGGTCCTATGATATTTCAGATTAATTTCAGAGGGAATAGCTAGTACTACATATTGATGGCACAGGTTAGAATCATCCCCTGTAAACATTTTGTGAACGCCAGAGGAAGGTGGGAGTTGGATTATCTGCCTCTGCAATCACAATGACCAAACTGGAATGATCAGCTTTGAGTGCTAAGCTGCTTTCAGTGTTCATGGAGGCACATACTAGAAGATGGCAATTCTGGAGAAGATATGCCTGGATTTATCATTCTGTGCAAATTTTCCCCCTCTAAATTTTGCTGGGGTTAAAGCTAGCCAAGTTTCATTGCATCAAGAGAAGCAATCGTGTCGCTTCAATCTAGCTATCTACGATTCTCTCCAAAGAAGTACTCATGTTAGTCTGTCTCCTCCTGTTAGCAAAGGAAAGGGGAGAAAAGGGGCAGAAACAAAATATTGCAGCACTTTAAAGATTAACGATTTTATTTCACTGGGAGCTTCTGTGGATCAAACTCCATTTCTTCAGACACCTTTATGACTGAAAGGGGGAAATGGAACAATAAACCTGTACGGTTTCTCCAGTACGAAGATTTACTCCCCAAAGAATGACAACTTTTAGAACATAAAAGAAATATAAAACTAAGCACAGGACATATCAAATAACTCAAGACATGTTACCGGTCACTTTGAACATCCTGATGAGCAAGAACTCTATCATGGGGACAAGACCAACATACAAAGCAGGACAAGTCAATAGAGGAAATGGTTTACCAGGCTACTTTCTAACCATGCTAGATAGATTAGGTTTTTTACACGGATCTGACACATCTCAGTGGGTTGGAGAGCCTGGCTGTGGAGCCAGGAGTCAGAAATTGACATGCCCACTGTGTCTTCAGGAGAAAGTGTTTAAGCAAATACATGCTCCAGGTAATCCATGGAACAACCACCTGTATTTCACTATTGGCTGCAGAATGTGGCCAGCAGGGAAATGCATGATAGTAACTCCACCTCACTCCATGGTGGTGGTTGTTGTTGCTCCTGCAGGTTGATCAGTTTTGTGGACTTGCATATAAGGTGGCAGAGGCAGTCACGCCTCTTAGCCAAAACTGCCATTTGCAATGGTCCCATTATTTCTCATTGTTTTCTAATGCTATTTCAACATTGGGGTAGCCATCATTTGAGAAAGAATCAGGATATTGAGGGTCCAATCACTATGAATTACGTCTGTTCCAGGAGCAGATGACATTTATTTAAGGCACACACTGTTACACATAAAGTAGCCCTGTTTTGGAAGGAGAAGACTGATCTGCAACAACAGAATAGGGATCGTGCCCCGCACAAAGCCTGGAAAAGATTCACCTGTTGGTTTTTGGGGTGCTTTTAATCTAAATCTTTTATTTTTTTTTATTTTTTTGCAAACTTTCATTTTGTTAAGCACAGAAAATGAGAGAAAAGGAAAGGTTGCGTAGTAGAGAACATTTCCAGCCGCCCTAAACTTTTTTTAAAAATTTATTTTGCTTTCTCTTTCCTGTACAATAAAGTTTCTAATGTGGAGGGTCTGGAGTAAAAAAATAATAATTTGGTCTCCTTTATTTTGTGCACCGGACAAGAAGAAAACCCAGAAGCCGAAGCTTCTTGCAATGTTAATTTTAAAACAAACACACACACACACACACGGGATGGGGCAAAGGTGGGTTGGCACCATTCCCTTTTTCCTGGTTTGTTGGAAAGTTCCTAGTTATTTATTCAATCCAGGGAAGGGAAAGGTGGGCAACAGACAGTCGAGGAGAAAAATAATAGGATAAATGGCAGTGACTCCAGGGATATTTTGGGGGAAAATAATTCCTATTTTAGAAAAAAAGGGGGTTGGGGCGAGGGGGTCAAGATGAAAGGGAGGGAGGGAGGGGGAGGCTCTGGATGGGAGGCAGCGTCCTCCCCCCCAAGGCAATGAGGGGTCGAACTACAAGACCCATCGTCCCCCGGTTCCTGCTGGTCGGGGGATGATGGGGGCTGTAGTCCATAGGTCAAGTGGGGAGGGGAGCCAAAGGAAGCGGATTCTGTGCATTTTAACCCCCCCCCCATTACATTAAGCGGGGACACGGGGGGGGAAATGAGATCTCCCCGCGTTCCTATTGGTGG